TATATGCATAGAAATTCTTTGGTTACTCTCTCCCCCTCCACCCACCCGCCCCCCTCCATCCCTCTGACATTCTTCAGTCTCACTATGCTTTCATGTCATTGAATCTATTCTGTTTATCAGTTTATTAAGTTCTTTAGGTTCCACGTATAAGCGAGATCATGTGATATTTGTCTTTCGCTGCCTGGCTTATTTCACTTAGCACAATATTCTCCAGGTCCATCCATACTGTCCCAAAGGGTACGAGATTCTTCTTCTTTACAGCTGCGTAGTATTCCATGGTGTAAATGTCCCACAGCTTTTTATCCACTCATCTACTGATGGGCACTTGGGCTGTTTCCAGATCGTAGCTATTGTAAACTGTGCTGCTATGAACATAGGGGTGCATATATTCTTTCTGATTAGTGTTTCAGGATTCTTAGGATATATTCCTAGAAGTGGGATCAGTGGGTCAGCAAGTGTTTTTTTTCTTTTTTAATTTAATAACAGATATTACATATATTTATATACTCAATTTTTTTGTTAAAGTGGCATAATAGTACTTTTTTTTGTTTGTTTGTTTGTTTTTGGCATATATTTATATCTCTTGATTGTATTGGGGGCTACCAAACATTATTAAGCAATACGCTTCCTTTTTACTTTTTAAATGGAAATCCATTGGCCTAGCCTTTTGTATGCAGGGCATATGCCAGAAATGGCAAATTCCAGAGAGTAGGAAGACAATAAAGGAACTGAAGATGGATGAGAATGACAGTTTATAATTGATCAAAATATGATTTCTACTACCTGGATTTTAAAAAATATTATTTAAAAGTTGACCAGAATATCTAGATAGCTGCTTGTTAAATAGTAAAGAGGAAATAACCAATCGTAACCAGAGGAATGTGGTGATTATCCTTCTTGTGTTTATAAAATTAAGAGGTACTATTGAAAAAGAAGCCAACAAAAAGAAAAAGAAAGCAGTCCTAGAATAACTGACTTTAAAATACAAATGCTATGAAAGGGATTGTTGGAAAAGGGCTTTCTAAAGTTAAAAGGGCTGGCACAGTACATCAAGATTGCAACAATGCTGATATAACTGTTACTATCGCTGTAAAGAGTAAATATTTCATTTCCTATATTTTTGAAAATTAGGAAAGGGGAATATTTCAACATAGGTCTTGATTTAGAAGAGATTTTGAAGAGATCATTGGTTGTGCCATAGAACCAAAGGCTCGGAAATTGGAAAGATCCATTTACTGTCCAACCAATGATCTTAGCTCTTCCCACCAAGCTTATTCAATCTAATGGTTTGCCCAATTTTTCCTTCATAGAGTGTTTGGCACCGGTTGCTAGTTAACAGATTTGAAAACTATCTCCACTTAAGGAAGAAGCAACAGCATTTAACCTAATTATTTGTAAAATTAAACAGATATTTAGGGTGCTTAGTGTAGAATGTAATTGATAGTTTCTTTCAAAACATCTTATTTGTAGTTGGACCTTTTAAAATACAGCTTTATTAAGACATATTTTGATGGATTATAAACACATGTTATTAAAATGTATCTTATGAAAGGAATAGACCATCAGCATTCAAAAGCGGCTTTGTGTTTAGGCAACAGAACACTCTGCGGTATGTCTCTCCATTGGCAATCAATACACTGGCAGCAACTTTGGAATAAAAATTAAAAAAAGGAAGAAAAGTAAAAGGAGGTAAAACCCCCTTTATTTTCTCTATTTAAACTCAAACAGAAAACAAACAGCAATTCTGTTATATACCAACATTTTCAAAGTACCATCATTTGTATAAGAGTAGGACTAAGAATAGAAATGTTTACAGAGATCCAAACGGAAGTGTAAGCAAGCACCTCACACAGCTTTCTGGTGGTGCTCAGGAGGAACCGCTTATACCAGCTGCTCTATGCTCTAATTTTATTGTATTTGCATTATCACATTTCTATCTATCATCTATCTATCTATCTATCTATCTATCTATCTATCTATCTATCTATCTATCTATCTATCTATCTATCTCTATCTATCTATCATCTATCTATATCTATCTATCATCTAATCTATCGTCTATCTATCATCTAGCCATCCATTCAATCATCTTAATTCTTGGACGTATTTCATAAGTTAAAGACATCAATACATTTTCCCCATACACTTAGCGTGAATATCTTTAACTAGAGCTTAATATTTGTTTACCTTTTTAAATGCATGAATCTTGAGCACGCCTGTTTGTGTCCCTTCCTTTGTAAAGTGTCTGTTCCAGTCTTTAACCTATTTTCAAGATGGAATTGTTTGCTTTTTTTAAATTAGTGAATTGTAGGAATTCTTTATATATCCTAAATCCCAGTTCTGTGTCAGATATATGTATTTTGAATATCTTCTGCCAGAGGTCTAGCTTGGATATTCATTTTAATAATAGTGTCTTTGATGAGCAGATGTTTTTAGTTTTTGATGAATTCTAATTCCATTTATTTTATTTTATAGTTGTTCCTTCCCGTGTCCTGTTTATGAAACCTTTACCTATCCTCAAATCATGTAGATATTTTGTGTTTTTTTTAGGGCCTTCATAGTATTAGCTTTCCTATTTCAAATTATTTTTCTGTATATTGTGGAGAAGTTATTGAGATTTTTTTTTTCATTCCTTATAGATATATAGTTATTTGGTCACACAATATTTTTTATACTTTCTCTGAGTCACCTCATTTTATAACCAGATGTTAAAGACATTCACTTTTTGTTTGTTTTTGCCAGTCCTGACTTTCCCCTTTGCATTGTCTTCTGGTGTTTACTAATTTTCATTTGGAAGTTTTAACAAGAAGAAAGGAAGAGCTATGCATCTACCAGTGATCAGCTCTGCTTCAGTTAGTCCCTGCTGGGCTCTTCTATATGTTGTAGGATCAAAAGTTCTAAAGAGCAGTAATAAGGATACAGTTTTAACTGAAAGAGAAATTAAGTTTATAACCCTAGGTTCGGTTTAACCCTGAAAAACCAACCGATAGAGAGTCCTACAATGCTCGAATATTTCATTCTCTGTTAAAGCTTAAGAGTTGATTTTCGTCTTAGACTGTCTTCTTCCATCACACGACTGTCAGAACACCAGAATCCAATATGATAGTAACATCTGATATTCAGGTAGTACCTACGCAGTGTATAAATTACTTTCACAGATAAGATAAGTAGGGCAGTAATTATTTGTACCATTAAAAAAGAGAGATGAATACATTGAAATACTGAATGGCTAGGTAAGTTACCCATGGTTAACCCTCTAGGGTGCGGCCAAGTTAGGGCTAGAATTTAGATCTTCTGATTCTGTGAGTTTAGGGGCTTGACCTCAGTGTGTGGCCTGGTAAGTATTCAGTCTTCTTGAGATGAAAAATAATTTCTTTGATCTCCATTTATATTCTTCTTTCTCCCTTACTACTCTCCTCTCCCCTCCCGTCTCAATCTATTGCCCACTGTCCTGCGTCTGGCCACTGAATGCTTTATAAAACGTGCAGGTAGCCTGTTGAGCATCCTTTCAGATTTGATGCTATGGACTAACTTAGTAGATGGATTGAATTCGTTTTTATTTTACTACTACAGGACATTTCTCCTCGATATCATTTAATGTTCTTTTTAATTCTCGTATCTTTTTAAATTAATAGATTTTACTTTTTTAGGGAAGTTTTAGGTTTACAGAAAAATTGAGAAAGTCCAGAGAGTTACCTGTACCACCACTGTCTTCCAACACTTCCCCCTTACTCACATCCTGTATTGGTGTGTCACATTTGTTACGGTTGATGAGCCGGTATTGACATGCTACTCTTAAAGTTTACATTAGGGCTCACTCCTTGTGTTCTACATCATGTGGGTTTTGGCAAATGTATAATGACATGTATTCACTATTACATTATCATACAGAATAGTTTTACTGCGCTGAAAATCCACTCTGTTCTATCTAGTCATTTCTCCCTACCCCCAACACCTGGCAACTGCTGATCTATTTATAATTTCCATAGTTCCGCCTTTTCTAGAATGTCATATAGTTGGAATCATGCACTCAGATTGGCTTCTTTCACTCAGCAATATATATTTAAGTCCTCTCCTTGTCTTTTCATGGCTTGACAGCTCATTTCTTCTTATTGCTGAATAATATTTCATCACCTGGATGTATTACAGTTTGTTTATCCATTCATCTATTGAAGTATGCTCAATATCAGCTCCACTTTTGTAAAACATAAACATGGATTATTTTTTTAAGAGATAGAGGAAAAAAACCACCCCACCTATTAGGAGGTGAATCAATCCCCTTTGCAAGGGAAATGGAAAAGTTTAAGCAGGACATGCAGAAACAGAAGAGCTTTGACTGGGAATCATTCCCACACCCCTCCAGAAAGGACACTGTGGGCAAGAGTGTCTCGGGAACCTGAACAAATGGGTCCATGATCATTGTGAGAACCCCAGAATGTGTTAACTTTTCGTTAAAATGCCTCTCCCATTTTTCAGTGTGTCAAGAGGCTGTCTGGGAAGCCTTCAGGACCTTTTGGGATCGACTTCCTGGGCGTGAGGAATATCGTTACTGGATGAACTTGTGTGAGGATGGAATCACAACTGTATTTGAAATGGGCACAAATTTTAGTCAGTCTGTGGAACACAGAAGCTTAGTTATGAAGGTAAGTGTAGTAACGAGGGAAGGAATTGCTGGACTATTGTAGGAGTGTGTATAGATTGCTAGGGCCTAAAGGAAGAGAGACCAAGCTGCGAACCCCGGTATTTGCGGAATCAGGCTATTTGAGTGAGCTGCCCTAGGGCGTGGCCTAGTCTTTGAAGCCCTAGCTCCGGCCATTATAATAAACTGTTAATGCAGTAAGAGCCTCAGCCTTGTTTATAAATGTAAATATTTGGAAATAGCAAAGATTTAGGCTAAGAATATAAACCTCTGAGAGTTCTTATCCTATATTATAAAACCAGATGGGCTGGAGCTGAAACTCAGACCCAGTTCTCTTTTCCAAAATCCATGTTCTTTGCCTTAAACCATTGGGCCTCCCTTCTCAGTCATTACCAGTTTACACATTGGAGGGGCTAATACGGAATGGCTATTCAATGAAAACACACACACACACTTATATCAGCATTGCCCATCTCATTGTGTTCCTGATACAGGATCAATTGATAGAGCAGAAAATATATATGATGTAGAGTTATTATTACTATAATAACAGCCTCTTTTGATGTTACATTATGTCAACTGATGGTCACTGGTGCCAATTCAATGCCAACAGGATCCCCAGTTTGGGGTACAGTGAAGAAGGAAACTTTATTCAGTGTAAAACAGCTTGTGATACAGCAAGGCTGTGAGAACAGCATGGCTGTGAGGCTGCCTTGGGGTCAGGTCCCTCTCTGGGTAGACGGCTCTCTTTTGATCCCCACTGATCTGCTCTGCTTCAAGCCCATCTGCTTTGCCCTGTGCTGCTGCGCTCCACTCTGCTCCAGGGAGAGGCCTTCAGTGCTTCAGCTCCTCCAGAGAAACTGGAAACTGTCAGCACTGCACTGGGAAGGGAAACTGCTCTCCCAGACCCAGAGGGGAGCTGACTTATTTAGACAGAAGTCCCCGCCCCTGGTCCCTGATTGGCCTGCCTTCGTGCAAACGAGGACTCCAAATCCTTGCAGTTTGATTGGCCCAAAAGGCACTGTCCTGATTGGTCAGAATGGAGTCACTCTGATTGGTCAGTGAAGAAGCTGATGGGGGGAGGAGATATAGCTGTGCAGCTCTGATTGGATAGGGAAAGCCTCAGTTCTATTGGTTGAAATAGGATTCCAGCAACTCCTTTATAAAGGTTCAGGCGGCAGAAACAGGGCAGGCAGGCAGGCAGTTCAGAGCACACGTGTGTCTGAAATGCAGTTTGCTTGAGAGGCCCTGTGTAGAAATGGCTGCTAGGCTTTTTAAAAAAAAATTTTTGAGCCCAATTAGCTACCAGGGAGCCTTTCTTAGTAGGTATCTTGTTTTTCAGGGTCCACCATTAGAAAGTGTTTCCTACAAGTGGAAATTTTAGTAAATTTAGTTTTAAAGACAAAGGAGATATACTTTGAATAATTATTTAGCAGAACATGCAGACAAAGGGGGCAATATGTTACCTGGATTGCATCTTAAATAACAAGTACAAATTAGCTAAACGAGAAGGAGTTTGGGATGGACATTCTAGGCAGAGAGGAAAATATGGGCCAAGTGTTGTCCCCTTCTAGGGAAGGACTTGGGCCAATATACCAGAAGTGACAGATCAGGCTGGAAAAATGAATAATTTAACATGTTTGTATTTAACTCTCTAGATAATAGGAAACCATTGAAGGGTTTTAAGTAGGTGAGTCACAGGGGCCGATTTGATAGTTTTCAATTTTAAAAAGGGCATTATGGTTTTTAGACCCCATAGGATGGAATAGAGGGGACAAGACTAGAACAGAGACCAGTTTGGGTGCTGCTTCAGTGCTCCAGGCCTGAGGAGATGAACGTACTAACTAGACCATGAGCTGGATAAAGGGAGCACGAGAGGCCTAAGAGGGAAGCAAGATTAGCCATGCCTAGTCTTGTTTGGATTAAAGTCATGGATTGTTGAGAGAGGGATAGGATGAAGGAGTGACCCAAGAAGCCTCCCAGTTTCTAGCGCGGATGACTTGGACCAAGAACTCAGGCAGGGAAGCAGCTTTGTAGATGGCAGGTGGAGACAGAATCAGCCCACTTTTGATTTGAGCCATTTGTGAAATATGAATTGCTTGATATTTAGGTATAAAAATATGGAGAGTGGTCTGGGTTATAAATATAGCTGCAGGAATCACCAGCCTTGAGGTGGTAATTAAAACCACGAGAGTGGCTGAGATTATTTTATGAGAAGCTGTGGAGTAAGAAGAGCAGTGAGTTATTTATAAATATCATGAGAGTTATTTAGAATAATAGTCTCCCCATTTTACAGATGAGGAAACTGAGCCCTAACACCGGAGAGATTTGGGGATTTGCCTCTATGGGACTTGAAACTAGGTCTTCTGACTCCTAGTTACTACTGTTCTTTTTATCATATTGGTCTCAAAAGAAAACCACTAAGTTAGAGGAAATTGGGGGACAATTTGCTTTGGAATGCGACAGAGGCATAATCCAATAATTGATACAAAATTCTTTTTGTCTAAATTCTGGAGAAGCAGATTTATCAGTTATTTTATCTACATGTTTATATTATTCTAGGTTGAGAGTTACTATAAATATGTTAGGTCACAAAATACTTTGATTCTAAGTCCACGGAAGGTTAAGGTAAAACTCTACCAATCTTTTAATTTGTGGACTGTTTTGGAGTGATTAGCAGGTAAAGTCTATTAATCTCTGCCCATTAGAAGGGAGCACAGAAACTTGGGCACATAAACAGAGACTACATGTAGGGACGTTCTCACAGTTACGAAACAAACTTGGCATCATTACTACCTTGCTCTACCTATTTGTCTAACCATAGAGAATAATAAGATAGATTCTATAATGTTAGGGCATTAGTGTTTCCTATGCAATAAGTTTTATTTATAGCTTATTAACTGTCATTAACTCCGTTTAAAAAAAAATCTTTGTTTTCTTTAGAAACTGGCATACACAAAGGAAACTGTAAGTGGGTAAGTGTCCTTTTTTCCCTAAGTTCATGTTTGGCAATAGAGATATTTCATACCTACTCCAATACTCACCCCAAATGGTCACTTTCTATTTTCTTGCCAGTTCCTGCAATGAGCAGGCCTGTGGGTAAGTCCCAAATGCTTTTCCTCATCTTGAGGCCACTTCCCTTCCCAGGCCACCACCACAGCTGCTGTGCTTGTTTACTCTCTGACCGGGGAGGCAGACTTGTTGCTGTCTCTTGGGTGAGAAAGTAGATTCTGGAAATGAAATATGGGGTGACCTACTGTTGTTGAGGCTTATAGGCTAATGAAAAGATTGCTATGAAGTGGTACACCTTAGTGGAGGACAGTTTAACAAATGATGGGTGGTGGCGTGGGTCACTTTACTGAGGAATGAAGACTATGATTTCTAAGTATAGGAATAGCACAACCTTGATGAATCCTCCAGTGTTATGAGCCTGGGCTTCATTGGCCTTTAGGTTTAGGGTTAAGGTCATTTCTGGCTCCTGAGCAGTAAGTAGCAGGACAGATAGATCATGGAAGTTGAGAGATTTTGAGCTTACAGGGGCTAAAGATTCCCAATTTTATCCATACTCAGAATATCTAGTTTAATGCCAGCGTATGAGCGATTACAGTGACACCTCGGTTTTTGAACGTCCCTGTTGACGAACATTTCGGGTTACAAACACCGTAAACCCGGAAGTAAATGCTCCGGTTTTCGAACACGCCCCGGAAGTCAAACATGCCACGTGGCTTCCGCTGAGGGCAAGATCCTGAGGCCCAGCTGTCGGCTGTGGATCCCTCGGTTTTCCAACGTTTCAGGACTCGAATGGTCTCTGAAACGGAGTACACTCGAAACCCGAGGGACCGCTGTGTTTGGAAAAGCGCCGCTAGGGCATGCACTGCAGGTCGGAGCCCAGGAGGGCGCCTCAAATGAAAGGGAAGGACATTGAAAAGCCAAGCAAACATGAGTGACCGGGAGGGAAACAGGACTCTTCGTGGTCTCACTTACCCATACAGCTAATTGGATCGCTGAGTCTATGCTGGGGCCCGGGACTGAGCACCTACTTAGCTGTGGCCCGTGTGGTTTCTTGAGTGCGACTCTTCACCACCGCGAGGCAGAGCGCAGCGTCCTCTGACTGCCATTGCTACACACCGGTGGGGGCTAAATAGTCCGGTGAGTCCTCCCAGCACCAGTGATCTTCGTGCTTGTACCTGACAAAAATGATGGCACATTTTACCGATCTTACATGGTTAAGAAGTGCATAAATTCTGAATAAATATGGCTCTTAACCTGGAAGTGGCGCTGAAGTTTGCTTGTGGAAGTGGAGCTTGTGGGTTATTGTAAAGTGGTGGAAGAGGTGTTATTTGAAATAGGAGGGAAAGCTGTAACACTCTCAGAGGATGTGTGTGGCTCATAGCTCACGGGTGGACTGAGGGAGCTGGAATGAATGGTTACATGCACTGTGTGTGACTAATAACAACACAGTTAACCTCTAAAGTATTATGCTAAGTGAAAGACATCAGACACCAGATACAAAATACTATATGTCATTTGATTAAAAAATATATATATAATTAAAATTTGAGAATGTAAAAGTTTGTATCCTTCCTATAAAACCGGAGCAGACCAGGTTGGGCTAGGGTGAAAACTGTGAGCTGTGGTAGTTGCTGAAACAGGGTGACCTGGAGTTAAGTAACACTGAAACCATGGGAGTGGTCTAAGAATTCACTAAGCCCATCTTTTTTAAATTAAAAATAATTTTTCTTTTAATCTTCACCCAAGGATATTTTTCCCCCCATTGATGTTTAGAGAGAGTGAGGGGGGAGAGAAAGAGAGAAACATCAATGTAAGAGAGACACATCAATTGGTTGCCTCCTGCACTTGCCCTGACCGTATCAAACCTGCAACCCAGGCATGTGCCCTTGACCAGGAATCAAACCCGAGACCCTTTGGTGCCTGGGCCAAGGCTCTAACCACTTAGCCACACCCGCCAGGGCAAGCTCACCTTTAGTTACCTCGAGTACTACAGTGGTCCCTCAAACCCTTAACTTACCTATCATTTTTCTATGTCCAAATCTATTTTTATGATTTTTTGGAGATTATTCTCATATCTTCCTTGTTAATAGACTCTTGTATTAGTTTTCTATTGCTGCTGTAAAAAAGTTACTACAAACTTTGGTAGCTTAAAACAACACAAATTTATCTTACAGTTCCATAGTTTAAAAGTCTGACGTGGCTGTTAGGTATTAGCATGTCTGCGTTCCTTTCTGGAGGCCCTAGGGGAGAATTTGTTTTCTTGCCTTTTCCAGCTTCTAGAGGCCGACCACATGGGTTGGCTTGTGACTCCCTTCCACCTTCAAAGCTGGCAATGGTTGGCCGAGTCTTTCCCATCTTTCGTCACTCTGACACTCTTCTGCCTCCCTCTTCCGCCTTTAGGGGGTCCTATGATTACATTGGGCCCACCTGGATAAACCAGGGTATGTGCTCTACTTTAAGGCCTGCTGATTAGGAACCTTAACTTCCCTGTGAATCACATTATTCACATGTTCTGGGGATGGGTGTCTTTGGGAGGACACTGTTCTGCCTATCACAATTCTTCCCTGTAATTTAAATTGCTTTGCCTATGGGAACTCTTACCCATCTGCTGACATATGACTTGCACCAAATACTCTGGTATGTATTGTTTTCAGCTTCCCTTACTGACATCTGCCAAATCTCTTTAAAAAAAAAAAAGCATTTTCCACCTTACTCGGGACCTCACATCCCATCTTACCTCTTAAAAATCTCGGCCTGTCATTGTTTCTCTCTTTCTCTGGACACTTCAACTAGTCCTATTATTAACTTGTTTCCATTAGCAGTTAAACATGCTCAAGTCTCTCCCGTGTCACCTATTTCACAAATGGCCTTCCCTCCAGCTCTTGTCTCCATTGACAACCAGACCTCTTGAAGGCATCTCCACATAGCTCCAGTCGCTACGTAAACCCCTGCTGTCTGCTCTTACTGTTTTATCCTCAATAACCAGCATAAAGCTCGGCTTAGGATATGTGGTCATTAACTATCTGTTAAATGAATTACTGAATTTCTGCTCAGTCACTCAAGTCTATTATCAGGCCTCTGGTGATAGTCTCAGTGTAAGAACTGTTTTTTGGGAGTTTTTTTTTTTGGTACCTCAATTAATTAACGTACATTTGTAGTTGAAAGTGCCTATTATAGATCATAAAGGCAAATGTACATTGTTTTTTAGCAAATGTTTTATTTTCTGTGGGATGACACACGTCACTGCTCCAGTAACCCGTTTTCTCCTACATTTGTTTGGCATTTCATACTTTTCATAATGCTCTGCATATAATATTTTATTCCTTTTTCATCAATACCTTTGTGAAATAGGTAGGGCAGAGAGGTGGTTCTATTTTGGAGATGGGGCCCAGGGTAACTGAGGTGTTTTTCCAAGTCATACACAAAGTTAATGCTACATCTGGGACCAGCACCCAGGAGTCCTGGTTCTGTGCCTTGAGTTCTTTTATTGTCACATGCTGATTACAACGAACAGTTTTAAGAGCAAAGCAAAGTAAAAAAACTGTCAGGGGGAGTAGTAATCTAGACATGAGATTATGCTGGACTTGTTTCACTACATTTTTAAACTTCCGTTCCATGTGGCTATGATATTTTCTGACACGGTCCTACCTGAATTCCACTGACATAATTAGGTCACAGCAGTGAGGAATAAATTATGTGCTGGTTGAATTTAGGAAATGAGACCACAGGGGGTTGTTTGTTGTCGGTATTAAACTAAAGGTCTTAGTTGACAACTTCAAATTTGTGGTTTGGCTTCGAAATGAAGTAACATTTCTGTCTCCAAACTGAACACAACTCTGTGTTGTAGCTCCCTTGTAAGTGACATCTCAGGGGACCCCTACAGGAGGCTACCTAATGAGAATATGTGAAAGGGTTCTTGTTAAATGTTCTTGACTGTCTTTTGAAAAGAGAGTGGGAGGGTGAGGGATTAAGTGTTGGAGTGTTAGACAAGTGGTTTGAATTACTGAGAGTTACCTATTTACCATCATTAAAGTAAAGTTATTTTGAATTCTGTAAGTGAAAGGTAGTTTTACTGAAGTAAGCAAACTTCTCCATTCTGATTGCTTACTTAAAGAATGAGCATAAATTTGATTTTGATGTGGGGGACAATTTGACCGACTCCAGGTGAGGTCTGTCCTCTGCTGTCATCCCAACTTCCTGTACTAGTTACTGTGTTGTGCTTTGGCCTCTTTGACCTCTTTGCTCTTCATACCTGGTTGCTTTCCATAGTTCTCTGATTCTGGGTTTCCCTTCCTCTTTCTGGGACCTTATGCACTTTGACTTTTAGGTTGTTTAGTTTAAGTAGGCCACTATCATTGAAATAAGGTGAAACCATCTTGGTCGCCCTTCCAGAGAAGATGGGTCACATAAAGGCCATGTTGTGAGGAATTAAGGTGGGTAAGAGTGAGATTTCTGGAATCAGATGGACCTCTTCCACTGGCCAGCTCTGTGACCCTGAGCAAATTCTGGACCACTTCTGGCATTAGTTTCCTCACCTGTATAAATGGGGATAATAGTATCTTTCTCTTAAGATTGTCGTGAGTTAACTAAGATAAACTACATAGCACAGTGCTTGGTGTGTAATGAGGACTTAGTAAATTTAGTTGTACTCATTCTTGCTGTTGTTACGATTGAGAAAGGAACTGGATACAGTTAGGAATTTTAGGTGTGGTCTTGGGTTATATTGCTGTGTGACCCTGGGAAAATGGCTTTACTCATATGGGCCTCTTTTTTTCATCTGTCAAGTGAGGGTATGGGAAGGGGTTCTGCCCTGTGGACAATTGATAGACCCTGTTCATATGTGATTATGTTAATACCTGTTTCAAATGCATCTGAATCCCATTGTTCTTTTAGCTCCACCTCCTGTAACCCAAGATGTCTCTTTTTACTTTTTTAAATTTTTTATTGTTTTTTAGAGAGGAAGGGAGAGAGAGAGTAAAAAACATTGATGTGAAGATGAAACATTGATTGACTGCCTCCTGCACACCCCCTACTGGGGATCAAGCCTGAAACTCGGGCATATGCCCTGACTGGGAATCAAACCCACAACCTTTCGGTACATGGGATGACACCCAACCAACTGAGCCACACCAGCCTAGGCACAAGAAGCCTCTTGATGCTCCCTCAGCTCATCACACATCATATTACTTTAGATTCTTCTAGATGACAGCTCACTGAGTAAGCAATTTCCTACAAATGCACTGTGAATAACTGATAGCTATAGGTTTGGTGTAATGGTTTATTATGTTATTTTTTTTAGATAGTATTTTTAAAAGCCAGAATAATTATTATGCTAAGATTATTATTTTTTTTAAAACCTGTGTTTCTCAAATTTTCTGCCAAAACCTGAAGGTTTAGGGATCATAGTCCTAGTTGACTCCCCCACTACAGTTCCAGGCATGAAATGTCTTTGAATTATCATATTTTATCTTAATATTCATTTAATCTTTATATACTATCCATAATATAGCCACATTTAAAAAATATTAAAATATTTTAAATTGCACATCAATTGTTCCTTAGCTCTCCAACTGCCTATATGCTTCAAGTAAAATTGATGCCTCAAGATATGTGCCATGTTTACCTGGTAGCTTTGAACACCCCACCTCCCACCTCCACTGAGCTATTTGGAGCAGCAGCAGGGCAATCCAAAGGAATTGTTCTAAAGATGGGACTCACTGGCACGTCTGCAAGCCTGTGAGGGAAACATTTTTGACTCTGATCGAATCACCTTAGGAGGCTGACTTCTGTAAAGTTGAAAAGAGTTTTCAATTGCTATGAATTGAAAATTGCTATGAATTGAAAACTGGTATCATCGCCATCCAGCTCCTTTGAAAAAGGGTAATGGGACAACCTGTTCCCTTAGGACATGTGCACAAACTTTAAAGTTCTAAAACTTCCCCAAATTACTGTAATTTAATTTTTACATTTTTTGAGTACGTGGAAATTTGAACTTGCAAAAACCCACTTTCTTTCCTTTAGAGTGGAGACTTTCTCAGGTTATCTTGATTTTTGCTTGCAGTTGCATGGTTAAAGGACAGCTGGGAGACCTGAAGCCTACTAGCAGTGTGGCCTACAGCAAGGCATTTCCCCAAGCTTGGCTTTCTTTATAGAAAACGATTTTACGATTTCTATGATCTCTCAGATGAGATTTGTGCTTGTATGTTCCCCTTAAAAGCCAGTACCTTCCAGTCTGTACTACTTGTTGTATTTATTATCATTTATGTGGTGTCTATTATCTCTAAGACTGTAACTTTCATAGACCATGAGTATTTTGTTCACAACTATATGACACATGTTTTCTACACTGCTTTGCCAATAGTATTTACTTATTTATTCATTCAAAAATATCTATTTAATGTCCATTAAATAGCAAGTATGATTTAGGCTAGAGGTATAGCAAGAACATGGCAGGCAGAGTCCCTAATCTCGTGGAGTTTAGATTCTTAAGGCAAGTCCTATTCAACAGGACTTTCTGTGGTGATGGAAATGCTCTTCACTGTGCTGGCCAGTGTGGCAGCCATTAGCCACGTGCGACTACTGAGCACTTAAATGTGACTAGTGTGAATGAGGGACTGAATTTTAAACTTTATTTCATTTTAGTTAATTTAAATTGTCAGGTATGTCCAGTGACTACCTTATTAGATGATGCCATTCTAGAGAAGTAAGGGATTAGAGACAGAAATAAAGAAATAGGTAATAAATGAACAAAACAATTTCGCATGTGATAACTGAGGAAATAAAATGGAAGAGGGATCATAAGTAAGTAGGTGAGTAATTCATATGGTGTCATTCTAGTCGAATAGGAATAAATAAATATAAAACAAATAAATTATGAAGACGATTTAAAAAAAACTTTTCTATTCAGTACTTTGGTTTGGAACCCTTGTGTGAAAATCTAGTGGAATCTTGCTCTGGCTAGTGTGGCTCAGTTGGTTGGGCATCGTCTCACGCACCGAAAGGTTGCTGGTTCATTTCTTTGTCAGGGCACGTGCCCCGGTTGCAGGCTTGATCCCTGGTAGGGGGCGTGTTGATATTTCTCTCTCTTCCTTTCTCTCTAAAATTCAATTAAAAAAAAATATATATATAAAAGAAAATCTAGTGAATTTTTTTCTGGAAAACAACAACAACAAAACGAACAAATCTCAAGTAAACCCTCACGTTTCTATCATTTTTATTAACTCCAAACATTTTTTTTCCCCTAGCCCTGAATTGACATCTCTAGCTCCTGTTGGTGATACCTCAACATTGGGAGGTATGCTTTTGTGCCTTTACTTATTTTTCTTTTAAAATTGTTTATGGTTTAACACAATCTTTCAAGCAAACTTTTTTTTTTTTTTAGCTCACATTAAAAATATACTGTTTCTCTCTCCATATATGTTGTTCAAGAGCTTCAAGAAAAAGTAATTTTTAAAAACATTTATTTTATGGTATTATGTTGTAGGTACTTAAAAATATTTAATTATTGAGTATGATACAAATCAGAAAACTGCTTAAAACAAATGTACGACCTACAGAATTATTGTAAGGCAAGTACCCTGTAACCACCGCTCATGTCAACAGGTAGAACCTTCCCAGGCCCACCATTTGTCATTTGTCTTGTAGTGTTTCTCAGAGTAGAGAGTTTTCTGATTGCGTTCTGCCGTGTACTTCATTCAACATGTTCCTCTGACCTCTCTATTTCCTGTAAATTGGTAGTTGCTTTCTTTATTATTATTTTTTTTGAAAGGTTCTCTTTATTGGAAATTTCAAATGTGCAAAAATTAGAATGCACAGTGAGGCCCAGCTTCAACAGCTGTCAATTCATGGTTAGTCTCCAACCTTCACCCACTTCCCCTCTTTGGCAGTGTTACCTCTTTCAGTGTCTGTCCCCTGGACGAGAGAGCTCTTTCAGGATGGGAACGTTGTCTGTATCCCTAGCATCATGCCTAGAGCCTGACATGTACTTGGTGTTCAGTAAATGCTTATTGAATGAATGAGTGAGTCAGAATTATTTTTGTCCTGGGAAGACTCTATGCAAATGTGTCCTATGGTTACAGTGCACAGAATTTCCAGCATGAAAAAGCAAATTGCTTATAGCAGTGGTTTTGTAGTCAGTACCTGATCTCCTGATATGGATTCTGACTCAGCCAGGGACTGGATTCATACACACATTTTCTTTTTCTAATTAGGTGCTGCCCTCAGTGTTCCATATCCTGGGGTGACCTCCTATGCAGGTACCTCAGAGAGCAGCTTGGAGAGGCCGGAGGAGAGTGTGAGTGACGCCCTGTTATAGTTTCTAACATGGAGAACGGGGGTTAAGAGAGATTGTTATTCCATTGCCAGAGTACACAGGACTTCCTGTGGTTCCGTGTATGGAAATGTTTTGGATTCTAAAACCAGTGCATTAAAAAGAATCTGAGATTCCTTGGAGAGTCAAGTAAAACTGCTTTTGGCGAGAGAGGGCTTCAAATTGTAAATAAGATGACTCGGGGCCTGGGAAACTGTCCTTATGGTAAGTCCACTCACTGTCTCTCGTGGGCTGTGTGACATAATTTACTATGGGGATTTTTGCCTATATTCTTCTGTCCCTAAATCAATCAGGACTTAGCTTCCTCTTCTTAAGAGGGAAAGGATATAGATTTTTTTTTCTTTTTAATCCTCACCCAAGGATATTTTTTCCATTGCTTTTCAGAGAGAGTAGAGGAGAAGTGGGGAGAAGGAGAGAGAGAGAAAGCCATGAGACACGTTGATTGATTGCCTCCCGCTCATGCACTGACTGGGGCCTGGGATCGATTCTGCAAATGAGGTACATGCCATTGGCTGGAATCAAACCCTGGACCCTTCATTCCTCCAGCTAACAACATTCTGACCACTGAGCCAAACCGGCTAGGGCAAGGATACAGATTTTGTGCTGTTAAAAAATCAAGAAGCAGCATGCTTTTCACATACATCATTATTAACAGTAACCTGACCACAGGACAACATTAAGTTGACTTTCTACCACGTTCAGATTCTTAAAAAAATACACACTGTCCAGGAAGGTAGAAACATTTTTGTTAGAAATTTTGTTAAATATGTATTTTTAAAAATTTGGGGTTCATAAATCCTTGATCACTTAATATACAGCAAAGTCTGACTGAACATATTCACTAGAAAAGTGCAGTTTAGTTGCCTTGCATTTTATCTTCCCAAACTTGAACATTTTAACTTATATGAAATCAGAATAAGTGACCCACTCTGCTCCACCACCCTCGCTATAACTGAACAAGGCTGGTAGTAGCTGGGGATTCCTGAACAAGGCTGGTAGTAGCTGGGGATTCCAAATCAGTACTTTTACCTTTAGTACCACTGTGTCCAAAGTTGATGGTGCTAACTATATCACCATTTGTTAAATATTTGCGAATGAATGAATAAGAAGTGATTTGTTAATTACTCTTTAATAACTTTAACTTCTTTGTCTTTCTGTGCTGCATTCATGTATGTCTTTCAGTTCACTAATTCTTCCTTCAACTTTGTCTAATTTGTTTCCGCTGTCTATTGAGTATTTAGAATCCTTGCTTTATGTGAGAGTCTTTGATCTGATTTTGAACATGTACAGACCTTCTATTTTGTATCCTATTCCTTGTCATAAAAGTTAAAACTAAAGCCCAGGCCTCAAGGGACCAACACATACAACATTCAGTCACCTCTCTGGATTCCTCTAATATTTCTTGACCCCTTGGGATTTTCTTTTTTGCAAATGAGCTATGCATTAAAAACATTTATTCAACATTTTAGGCATTCTGTTGCAGTAAGGTTACTAAGCATATTTATTTAAAAATAATACTGGAAATGGAAGTTTCTGTCCAAATCTAGTGAGGTAAAATTTAACATGGAAAAATACAAAGTCTTACACAAAATTCTATTAAAGACTAGAGTTTTTGTTGGTGTGACTCTCAGTATAAATCAGCAGTATGCTGCAGTTACTGAGGGAAAAACACCTAGTGAAAGCTAGTGTGATTTTGGGTTGCATAATAGATATATAAAGTTGATCATAACGGAGGTGGTAGCCCTACCATATTTTAGTTGATTCGACTTCACTGGTGTGTACCACACTCTAAGGTAGACATTAAAAGCCTGAGACATGTCTTCAAGAGAGGAACTAGTAAAAAATCAGGGAAGACAAAGCTGTCTGTACTTATTTGAAGGGCTCTCTGGTGACCACGGTGTGTATAGGTGTCCCAGGTTACAGAACTGGGAACAATGGTTAACAGAAAAATATATTTGGGTTTAATATTAAAAGCTTTCCAACCACGAGAGCTTGTTTTGAAATGTAATGGTCTGCCTTTGAAGGTCATGACTCTTCCTCATCTGAGCCATTTAAATTGAGCATGAGCAGCCCTTTGTTAGGGGTAGTATGGAGAGACTTCAAGCATAGAAATGATGGTGGGATCTTCTAAAGTTTTGAAAGTAGCTGATTATATATTCATCAGGGATGAAAATGACACAGTGAAAAAAGTCCTTGTGTTCTCTCCCTGCCTCTGCCATTGGCTATGAGCCCATAGGCTAGCCATTCTTCCATTCAATCCCTGGTTTTCTTGTGTATCAAATGGAGGGACTTGGATTAGATGAGCTCAAGTGTATCTTGCACACAACAATTATTACTGTATGTTCTAGTCGTGATATTCGAGCTCCCTCATTCATTCCACATTTATTAATTAGAATTCTTTTGTAAGGAAGTATTGTCACTTCTCTCACATTTATTTATTAAATCATATTAGTACAGACTCATCAATGTTTATTTTATTCTTTGGATTATAATTCAGTATTCATTTTGTTGCTCTAATTATTCCAGCTTTGGCCACTGGAAGACCTGGATTCTAATGATACACAGTACACAAGTGCTGATATGGTTTCAGATTCCACATAGCAACTAACCATTAAGAAACTACCACTTCTTGAGTTTGGTGTAGTATCTAAAAAAAGAAATCTACAATTACCTGAAAAGGCTGTTAATATATTCCTTCCTTCCTCAATACTTATCTGTATGGCTAGATTTTCTTCACATACTTAAACTAAAGGAACATATTGGAACAGATTAATACAGAAACACATTTGAGAATCCAGCTGTCATCCATTAAGCCAGACAGTAAAGAATTTGTACAAATATAAACCGTGTTGAGAACCAAGCTTCTAGGCTATTTTTAGATGATAATTTTTAGCATAGTCAACTCTGTTTTAACTCACAAATGGTCAAATTTGGTGGTTATCTTTGAAAAATTTTCTTTCCCTGAACTGATCATTGTGTGTTGAAATGAATGTACAAATGCTCAGTAATTTTAATGTTAACCTGTGTCTTAAAGTCTACCCAATCAGTTCCAAAGTCAAACACTGTATAAAAGATCATCATCAGAAGTTGCCTTTGGCATAGTCTCTGGCATATAGTATGCAATCAATATATACTTGTTGATTGAGTAAACATTGACATTTATTGTTCTTTCCCTAAAAATTCAGATTAGCAATGAAATTGAGACTGTGATAGAAGAATCCACAAAACCAGCAGCTGAGCAGATTGCAGAATTCAGTATCCACCTTTTGGGGGAGCAGTACAGAGAAGAACTACAGGATCCCTCTAGCTTCCACCACCAGAGCCTTGTGCAAGAGTTTATTTCAGAGGTGGGTGATTTTTGTTTATTTTTATTCATTTTTTTTGGATAAGCAAGAAAGTTTTCTGGGGTTGTAAATTTCCCATATTCACAACACTGCTTCGAGGTAGATTTAGGATTCAAGCTCTCTGTCTGCTTGGTTCAGGTGTGGTGACATAGTGATTTCTTCAGAAAGCTCTATGAAAAGTCTACAGAAAGACAGATGAGTTATTTCACTGAGACAAAACCTTCACACATGTGCCATCTACTAACAAATAAATACTATTTCCAACATTTGCTACAAAGCCAAGGAAGAATGTGTTCTATGAAAAATGAGCATCTTTGAGAAACTACAGACAATGTATTGTTTTTCTTTAGGAAACATTAGATTTAATTTATTTTATTTTTATATTTAGTTTTACTTCTTTAAATTGAAAAATTTTGAGCTGTTTACACATAGGCAATACATGGTACCAAGTTCAAAGGACAAAACAGCATCCAGTGACAAGTAAATTCCCCTTCTATCTTTGTTCCTTGGGTGTAGGTATTTTTAATAAAAGTTTTCTTCAAAAAATCATGGAATAGATCATCTCACAATTTTCCTTTTTGGAAGAATTCTGTATAGGACTTGAACTCAAGATTCTTTCAGTCAAAAACGACCCATATGTACTTGTCTCCTTGTGTGCCTTTGCTCTCATGTAGTAAGGCATTGAGTGCTCATCTTCCTTCTCTGCCCAATTACAGGGCACACCATTCCTTCCTGTTTATTTCTTTTCCATTCCCTCTTGATGGGGTTCTTCTTGGCCACGTTTTTCAATTCCATAACCTTGGACTAATTTCCTCCCCTAGACACTGTGTCTAGATGAGAAATAAAAATATGCACCTCTCAGCCAAACAGCATCACTGCAGCCATCAGACGTGGGGAGCGTAGGCCAGACTGTTAGTTTTCCTAGCTGTGTGGCCAAGTTGGGAGGCTGAATGGTATGTGGAAGAAATGTCAGCCAGGCCAGTGGCCACCTGGCATCAGATTGTGTCTTGGATCAACTGTCTGGTTCTCTCTGCCCTTGGGTTAATAAGCCTTTAATAAGCTTCAGTGTTTGGGTCAACAAATGAATGACTGCATGTTTAGAGATACTCTAATAAACACTTTGAAAAACATTTCCAGCAGGGACTTTATGAGGTAGGTAGCTGTTGGCTTGAGGTGGTTTGAAGGTAATGAAGGGTCTGGGCCTACCGTGAAACAGTCCCTTCTCTGGCCTGTCTCTATATCCCTGTCCCTTTACCTGGAACAAAATGTCAACCGATAGCTGCGTGTGGGCCATCTTTGTGTGGGGCAGTGGAGTCTGGGGCAAGTCTCTGAGAGGTCCTGTCACCATGTTTACTACAAACTGAAGGGGCCCTCTAATTCTCTCCCTACAGCAGGGGTGGGGAATGTCTGGCCCTTGGGCTGTATACAGCCCTCGAAATCATTTGCTCTGGCCCTGCCAAGGCAACTGCAGGTGAAGCTCGAAATTCAATAAATTTAATGAAATGTTTGACCAAAGATAGCAGGCTAATTTTTAAGCTGATAATTTTATATGGCCTGCAAATAATATAAATATCCAAATGGCCCTTGGCAGAAAAAAGTTTCCCCACCCCTCCTCTACAGGGAACAGTCACAGGGATTGTTCCTTCACTATTATTTTTTAGGTAATATTGGAAGACTCAAGGGAAAAACAAAGCTGCTTGGGGGATTGAGGTTCAGGAGCTATTAATATATACACATATTTATATATTTTTTTCATGAGGAGATGAATAAGTAAGATAAGCTTGGGGCAATGCCAGGGATGACACTGGAGAGGGAAAGGTCAGCTTGGATATGTGAGACTTGAAGACAGCCCTAGTTTCAACACGGGGTCCTTGCACACTGCTGTGCTCTGCAGGCTGCTGGATGCCTGTTTGCTCAGAGCAGCCATGTGGGTAACAGCATCCATTCCCAGGTGAGGCCCAGGAGGACTAGTAACAGTTTGTGGTCGTTTGAGCCCCTAGCAGTAGAAGGGGAGATCAGCTCTCCTCCTTCCTTTCAAAGTGTTCCTTCCTTTATATCATACAGAGTTCCCTTCATTTTAATTCAGGTGAGAAACTGTGGTGAGCTTCCTAGTTTTCCCAGTCTCGGTCCTACTTCTAAACCATATTTATTATGAGCCAAGGGAAAGAGGAAGAGGCATGCAATTCAATGGGAAGGATATAGTAGGGTTCAGTATTAGAGAGATTTGGGGTTGAATAAATTCTGATTCAGTCACTCACCAAATGCATGACCCTGGGGAAGTTAGTTGACATCTGAGTCTCAGTTTTCTCATCTATAGAACTGGGAAAATATGTATTTCTTGGGATTTTTGCAAGGATTAGAAGTAATATTGCAAAGTGCCAGGCACGTAGCAGTCACTCAGTACATTGTACCTATTATTAATCTTGATGTTAGTCAAGTAGAATGACTTCTTACAACTGACCACTTGTACAGAAACTAGCTGGATATGATGAATTAGAATATCTGTATGTGTTGAGAATGAAGAGATGGCAAAGCCCAAAATAAGATGAGTTTAGTAATAATAATAATAATAATAATAATAATAATATACAACTATATAGCATTTTGCAGTTAATGGAGTTCTTTCAGCTACATTCATTTTAATCTTACAGAAACCGATGTGGTTGGTGAGCAGGGTAGTATTAGTTCTATAAAAGAGACATACATGGCCACTTTGCCATCAAAAGCAGCTGGGACTTATCCCTCAGTCTTCAGATTCCTCATCCTGCAGACCCCATTCCCATCCCCACCCACGTCCTCCAAGAAGCCTAGCAGTACTCTCTTCTTAGAGAAAGAAACAAGGCAAACTATTATAGCTAGAAAGTTTTATGTGTTTGGATTCTGTATCCTTAAGGCATGAAGATCTTCAGTGGACCAAGATTTATTTATTTGTTTATTTGTTTATTTCAATTACAGTTGACATTCAATATTGTATTAGTTGACATTTATATAACTTACGAAGTGATCACGTGATGAATCTAGTAACTATACACAGTTATTACAGTATTATTGACTATGTTCCCTATGCTGTACTTTACATCCCCGTGACTGTTCTGTGACTACCAGTCTGTACTTCTTAATCTCGTCACTGTTTTCACCCAGCCATCCAACTCCTCTCCCATCTGGCAACCATCAATTTGTTCTCTGTATCTATGAGTTTGTCTATGTTTTGTTTTGGACTAAGACTTTTAAAAAGTCTCACTCTCCTGATTATATGAGGACTTGGTTTTAAAAGTGGGTGCCTAAAGATCCACTAACAGAGTTCCCAAGTTCACTGACAACTTCCTTCCTTCTTCTGGTGTGGGCCCCATGGTGACTTACCTGGTAAGACTGCATCTTCTGAAACGTGTGGGTTAAACGTTAAATGTTGTTAAACATTTGGTATTTGTGCACAGCCCGATTATTTTTAGCTATTGAGTCCAGCCGAGAATTCTTTTTTTCTTGCTCCAGTCATTGATTCACATGGTGGAAAGTTACAGACTCAGTCATAAAACTGGTTTCCACAGATGTGATGCTCATAAATTGATCTTTTGACCAGTTAACTTGACCGATCACTGCTTCATCATCTCCGTGACAACCAGTGAGCAAGGCCTCTCTCCAGCGAGCTAAGCCCAGGCCTACAGATCTCTTTTTAACGATGACGGTGTCCACAGGTCCCTTGTGTTGTAGCAACAAGAAACAGACACCACCAGGCACCCTTAGGAAATGCGCCCCTGACTGTCACTGTGTGTGCTGCGGCCAGATTTCCCATCCGAACAATTAGGTTTAAAAATGCTCTTGTAGCTTCTTTGGAAACTGAAGCTCCTTTTCACATTTTGTCACACAAGGAAAAGAACAGTTCTTTTGCCAGTCAGAAGTATGCTTTTAATAATTTGAACAAAAATTAATATTAAAGCACATTAGAACTTTAAAAGACAAAGTGAAAAAGAAAAATGTGTCAGTGTTGTGGTAGACACTTTTCTAACATTGTGACTATTATTTTCTTAGTAACTTTCTGACCCATGAGTATCTGTGTATGTATTCAAGCTTCTAAGGTTGTAAATGGTGCTCTTTATATTCTACTCCTAAAAGCATTATTTTCTACATCTTTTTTCACATTTATTTCTAGTTATACATTTTATTTTTATTTTTAATAGGTTGAAAATGCATTTACTGGGTTACCGGGCTACAAGGACCTCCGTGTACTTGGCTTCAGGTAAACTGACGTACTCTAAAAATGCATGCTCAGTGCACTCTTTATTTCAAGTGGGATATCCTTTTGTGTATATTATATACACAACAATAATTCAACATGATTTGAATGCTGCAGTTCAGTGCTATTTCTGGTAAATTTACATTCCTAATGCTAATATTTTAGGTGAGAAAACTGCATTAGAAAAAGGGAAAATGATGTACTCAAGGAGACACACTAGATCTGTAGTTGGGCCAGGGTAAGAACTTAGGAATTCCTGTTCTCAGCTTGCTGCTGACATAGTACTCTGCTTTTGTTTGGCAACAAAAGCCTGAGGGGAGCCTGAAGTCAGATTAAATGTGACCTCATGATCCCACTAAAGCTTGTCCATGTTCCACTGAGGTGACTCTGACGCCTTGGTGCAAGGCCACTCTGCATTCATCTTTTTTTCAAACAACACTTTGAGTAAATCAGAGACCTCTCTTGAAGGCATTTCTACTCTGCTCAGACCTGCTGCATAATACTTGGGAACATTTGTTGAGTGAGTACTTTGTATTAGGCACTTCATATTCCTGAGCTCACTTAATCTCCAACCCTCTCAGAATAAATATTATTATTGATACTCATTTCACAGAGCAGCAAACTGGTTTAAAGAGATGAAGTTTTAGCCCAGAGTCAGAGAACCTGTAAATTAGCTTGTAAATTTGAAACCAAGTGGTGGACTTTATGGCTCTGAACCTCCACGCTAGACTCAGCACTTTGAAGGCTGGAGCAGCAGGAGATTGCTGTGGCCCAGAAGCAGATGCAGTGGAATATGAGCAGGGGCACTGGGTCACCTTATAGCGTCATTAACAGTGTCAGCATCTTAACTGTGCCATATTCTTGTCACAACTGGGTTTCCCAGAAATAATAGAGATCACTTATGTAGCATTCACAATGCTCCAGGTTTTATATTTGTAGTAATTCATTTAATCCCAACAGCCAAGCTATGAGATGCTTATTATTGTCCTCACCCCTTCCCATAAGTAAACCAGAGCCCAGGGAATTTAAATCGTTTACCTAAGGCACTCAGCTAGTTATTGGTACAGGGGAGAGGGCACGCATGGTAAATGGACCCTCCACCTACTCTCACACCGTGACCAGTCTCCCTGGTTCCACCGTAGCACTTTTCCAGGTGTGACTGAAGCTCACCTGAGGACCTGTGAATGTGAGGTCTTTGGGGATCTCACTTGGCAGCACAGGGAAGGCAACATAGCCTTTGTGGTCAACTTGCCTAGGTTCAAACCCTGCCTTGGTATTTCTGGCTAGATGGTTTTGGGTAAATTACTAAGTCTTAACTATTAATCCTGCTTTATTAAAAAATACTTTTGAAATACTTTAAGTAAATGATTTAGCATTTTTGTTCCTCAGCTTCTTTACCTATAATATGGGGATACTAATGGTCTTTAATAAGTCTTAATGAGGATTAATTTATTTTTGAAAAATCCTTAGCATAGTTCCTGGCACATGGGAAGTTCTTAATAGAGCTTAATAGTGTCTGTTATATAAATAAATATTAAAGGCTATGCAAATCCTATAGTCAGTCAGTCCTGACTTTTCCCAACCCCTTAGAACCTTACTGTATATCGCCTGATTGCTTTTCATTGATTTCAATACTACATAACACATTGTATCTCCCCAAAAGTGTTCCCAATTTTATTAATGCTAATTACTGGAGTCCCCTGCTGATCTACTGAAAAAGTTTACTTATAAAGAGATAACCTTATATGAATTCTTTTAAAGGCATTTTAATAAAGTTTAAAGATAGCAAAGACTATTTATTTTAAAAGAGAACACTTTCTCCACCTTTGCTCACTTCCTTCCATCCACAGGAATTTGTCAGCTTCTGATACTGTGCAAGCATTTTCACTTAAAGAAACATTTCAAAGGAAATATATCAAGAAGTTGTACTTTGATAAATGATATGACAAATATAACTGTTTTAAATTCTACTTAACATTTTCAATTTTTTTTTTTTCAGGTCCCCCAAGGAAAATGGCAGGTAGAGTACTTTTTGGTACTTTCTCAACTATCAAGTGAATGAAGTGTCAGTTTAGAAAATATGGTAGACCTAGGTTCAAGGGAGCATGGCTGAGTTATTTTCTCACTTCCAATATCAGTGTCCATCTCTGTACAAATCAGGGGGTGACAAAATTTTTCTTAAGGGTCAGATAGTAAATATTTTAAACTTTACAGGCCATATGGTTTCTGTTGCAGCTACTCAGTTCTGCTACTATCAGATGAAAATGAATAAATATGGCTGTGTTTCAAAAAACCTTAATTTATGGACACTGAAATATAAATTTCATATAATTTTTACAATATTGTTCTTCTTTTGATTTTTTCCAACAATTTAAAAACATAAAATCCATGAAGTCAGTGACAATAGACTGAATTTAGCTCACAGGCAGTAGCTTATAGACCTCTGTTATAGACTATATAGTGACAAGTACTTTTATTTTTAATTTTTAAAAAATATGTTTTTATTGAGTTCAGAGAGAGGAAGGGAGAGAGAGATAGAAACATCAATGATGAGAGAGTCATTGATTGGCCTTCTCCTACCTGCCCCCTAATGGGAATTGAGCCTACAACCTGGTCATGTGCCCTGATCGGGAATCAAACTGTGACCTCCTGATTCGTGGGTCGATGCTCAACCACTAAGCCATACCAGCTGGGCCTGACAAGTACTTTTAAATAAAGGGTTAGGCAAATGAAGGCTTACAGTTGTGAAACAGTTTGTTCTTGTATTATTTATTTATTTATTTAATTTTTAAATTGTTGGCACTATTGCAGATATCCCTCTATTATTTATTAATTATTGTATTATTTTCCATATGAATAACTGTAAACCTACTTATGCCCCACTGTGTATTGAGTTACACTTAATTTAAATAGGAATAAAAACTTGCATTAATGTAAATACTTTCCAGTATGCTATGCATTCAATAATCTAACCAAGCATCACTTTAAGTGGTAAATGAGGAGGAAGAGTTCATAAAGAGTTCATTTACAAAAGCAATTGCTCTCTAGAATTTCTCAGAAGGAGCATATGTAATAGAAAAGCATAGTCAATACCTCTTGTGAAGGTTGCTTGTCATTTTCTTGCCTTTGGATTCCAAATTTATTGAAAATTCACTTTTTCTTGGAAGGTTGATAAGTATAATATAGAATTTATGAGGTATATTCATGGGCTAAATATGGGCATGTTTAGAGATATAGTAATGCTCCTTCATTGTAATGCCTTATATTTGGAGAGGGCTTTCTGACTTCCTCACTATCATTTATATTACTTTAGCAAGTATTTACTAAGTGCCTACTAATGAGGCAAATCCTGTGTCTACAGAAATTAGTAACTGTTGGTCTCCATCCTCTAGGAACACAGTCTAATGAAAAGTACTTTCAGAGATACATCAAAGTACTGGTCCTTTTATTTCATTTTCATTTTACTGTCTTATATCCCTGTGAGGTAGTGAAAATGAGAATTAATATTCATTCTATTTTGGTGATGAGAAAATTTTGCTTCAGAGAGGCAAATTGATTTGCTGTAAGTTATATGATGAAGCGGTATCAGGTATTTTGACCAAGGTAATCAGAATTTGGGTTTCTGTATTCCGAGTATGTGTAAACTGCTCTGTGTGTGTTTGTTATAGGCATGTGTTGATGGTGTATACTCAACCAAAAAGCCTGATTGTGGGTTATTAGAATGTAAAACAACCCAAATTCTGATGTTACCCTATGATCAAAAGAATGGTATCCAGTTGCCAAGTGCTAAGTTCTCTCTCGGGGCAACACTTCAATATGAAGCCATTAGGTTTTTATGATAAAATTGTTAACCTAGGTACAATTTCCAAAACTGTACAGTATTGTCAGGTATTAGGTAATTGATGAAATTTATTCGTAACTTTTTGGTATGCTTTTATTCTGAGCTGTGATGAATGAATGTGTGGCACAGAAATAGTGACTTTATGTGATACATAATCTCTCTTTCTAAACATCTATAAATGTTTTGTTATAAACATACACAATAAAATATTGTAAACATAGAACATTTATATGCACATGAAATTTTCTATCTGCTTTGTATCCCTTTCAAGACACAAACATGATTTTAAGTTAGTAGGACTCACTTAAAATGAATCAACAATATATTTGCCTGGTATACACACTTCAAAAATTCAGCTCCAGACTTTGCGAGTGTGCATCTTCTTCCTAAGATAAGTTTTATAGAAGAAGGGATATCTGAGTTTCTCTGAAATAACTTTATTTTGGTTAATCTTAATGAGATGTGATTGCATTATTTTTTCTATTTAAAATCTGCACGTCAAACAACCAACTAGGGCATTTGAGGTGAGAGAATGAGAAAGGGTGAATTTCACCTCCACATGATTCACATCTCTGGAAATAGCTGTCAGACAGAGAAACTTTCCTCTGTAAAGCAGCTGTTTCTGTCTAGTTTGGAAGATGAAGGATGATGGTGGTTGGTGACCTTGGAGTTGTCAGTGCCGAGAGGCAGCACAGCTTTCTTCAATCAGATAATGTGTTGTCGACCAGTGTGCGTGGTGCTTCTGACGGACTTCCCCGGCCTCTTGGCTGTCTCTTAGCCTGTCCCTCATCATGAGAAATCTCTGACTCCATTTGCCACGCCAGAACTAAGTCTATTTGGAGTCACAGTAAAGTTCTCGGCTCTGAGAATAGATGGTTTCCCCATACCAAGCATTTCTTTGGCTTCTCTTTCCAGGATAAAAACATGGTAATAAATTGAAGCATCTCTCTATGGATTTTTATCTTCTCTAATGAATTTATCCCCACTAGACAAGGTAGAGTATAATAGAAGTCTTATTTTTAGATGTTCAAGGGAAACATTTGGGAGACAAATTTTATTTTGCCAATAAAAAGTAAGGCCAGAAGTCTAACCCAGACTGCCTGATTTGCATTTCTTGATCCAGGAATATTTCTTTTGATCGTCTCCGTATGATATTTACAAGTCATGCAAGGCACATCGCAGGCTCCCAGTAAAGGCTTGCATCTCCTTCTCTGGTTTTCTTGTAGCCCAGAAATCAACTCAGTTGCTAACTGGCACAGCCTTTTCTTCTTCATTTTCCTTATCACTGTTTCCTGTCTTGGAGCCAGGACAGGAAACATGGTAACATGTTAATATGTTGTGCAAAGACCCCAAGGAGAAGCTCACCTTTCTGGAGATGGAGGTGTGGTCCATCCGACGGAGCTTGGGAGGAGCAGGTACATCCTCACAGGACTGTGTTCTGATTACTCAGGAAACACAATTGTGTGAAGATAACACGTATGCTCTTTAGGGTCAAAAATTACTCAAATTAGAGACTAAAAATCCTTTGGATAAAGTCAGGAGTATCACATACTGCTATTTAAGTGCTATAAATTCAGTTTTCTTATCTGTCTATATTAGTGAATAAAACACAACATTTGTTTTTTCATTATTTTATAATATATTTATTGAACTGTTGTGAGCCAGGTATTGTGTTAGATGCTTGGGACACGTATGGTGTAGTGAGTTCTGACCAGTAGGTGTCCCTCTTACTGTTTTATTCCACCTTGGAGCCATCATTTGGTTATTTCACCATATTTTACTGAATTTATTTCTTTACAAAAAAAGATCAGGAATTACCCATGAATCAACATATTCTGACATGAAAAATTAAGTGGCTGAGACGTGATAGATGACAAACAGATGTCTCACCACTTAGAGCACTGGGTGCCAAAATGCTCAGTTACCATGTTAAAATGCCCAAACCACCCCATTGAAAAGTGGGAGCTTATCAGACGGGGAGGAAAACCTTATTGAAGTTACTCACAGTGAGACAGGAAATTCAAAGAAGCCTGGCTGCTGGAATGGCAGGTGAAGGATGTCATCTTCATGGTGTCCCCTGTAGACCAGGGTATGATTTGCAGCAAGCAGGTCCAGGGCAGGTCCAGCACTGCCAGGGCTACTAAGGAGAGATCTCTTAAGACCAATCCATGCTTACCAAACCACAAAACACACCACATTCTCTAGGATGCCAGTCGATCTATTTAAAGTGAGAAATATATCTGCCAATTGACCAATTATAGCATTGGCCAGCTCATGCGTTCTTTTCCCATACGAAAATCTGTAGGTAGTTATAATCAAAAGCTTCCTTTGCAAGCTTGAAATCAGAAAAAGGAAGTTGGTGTTGTTAGTGGCCAGTATCATCAGGCCATGTTAGCTGTCTCCGGCCTAGGGATCTGTCTTATGGGGAAGCCACAATAGACCAGTGAGAAGGATTCCACTAAGCAGTAACATAAGTTAATTGGCTGATTCCCTTTACCCTAGACTTCATAAGACCATTGTCATTAAGTGGATACTTGTTCTTTAGATATGTGAGTACCTTGATTAGGCTGCAGTTTTCTTTTTATATTCAGATAAGTATAGATTTCTGTTCATTTAGTAGACACTGTGTACCCCTCAGTCCCAGGTACCAAGTTGAACATTGGGGATAGAAACTCAGGAAGAGACTGAAAGGCAGTCACTGTAAACAAATCTTTTAATAAAACAACAAAGACTATAAGCAAGGAATAGATAAGAATTATAAAAGTTAGTCCAGAGGAAGAAGGGCTTAATTTATTTATGCTTTGATTTGGGAATTATTTTGCTCCTACAGAATAGTAATGGAAACCATGATTTTGAGACTGTCCCTTTAGGTCTAATGTTTGTTCTCTTTAGGTTCACAGCTCCTTCCTTTGTGTTTCCTTAGCCAGGCCTCATCTGTTCTCTCTTTCCATCCATAGTGGCATAGATGTTCACTATGCAGTTACCTTCAACGGGGAGGCCATCAGCAATACCACCTGGGACCTAATCAGCCTTCACTCCAACAAGGTGGAAAACCATGGTCTTGTGGAACTGGATGATAAGCCCACTGCTGTTTATACAATTAGTAACTTCAGAGATTATATTGCTGAGACACTGCATCAAAATTTTTTGCTGGGGAATTCCTCTTTGAATCCAGATCCCGACACTCTTCAGCTTATCAATGGTGAGTTTGATATCAATTATGAAGTTCTTATATAGTTTTAGTTCCCTTTCTAGTATGTTCTGGTGAAAACTAATTTCCCTAAATATATGTGGTTCTGAACATTTTCTAGACTGCATGAGATAGGAGCCATCCTGGTATGAATGGAACTTTAGCCTTGCAGCTATTTTGGGTAGATTAGTCAAGGGCTGTCTGGAATATTTGTAGATACAAGGCCACTCTTTGTGGAGAAGAGCATGATATTTAGAAATAGTTTAAAGATGTGGGAGCAAAGTATAAGAAAAAGTAAAAAAGTACTTGGAAGTATGGATTGCACCAGGCTGTAGTGCTGCCCTGGCAACCAAGACATCAACTATCCGGAGGCAAGTCAGCTGATAAAGGCTTAAAAGCCAGAGAGCAGAAGAGAAGGAGAAGCTCAGGAAAGTTGATGGAAGACCCTGGTCAAAGAAGAAACAATACTGGGTGCTGGGCAGAATCCCAGAGAATCCAATACTAAGTTTGAATTCAGATGGCTGTTGAGATCCAGTTATGGTCCAAAATCAACAGGTGGATCTGGAGTCAGCAAGGAGAGACTGACTGAAGAGTGACCTAGCCAGCCTGGGACTAGATCTTGCTGAGTCTGGTTACCAGGGTTCCAGAGCTTAACTCACCAGGGGCAGGGTGCCCTGTTAACTTACTTACTGCCTCATGTTTACTTCTCCACAGTTCTTTCACTCAGTAGTTTAGCTTTTAAAGTGTCCAGAGTACACTTTACTGAAGTGACCACACAGGAGAAGTACTAGCTGCCAATGAGGAAGATCCACAAGTGAGAGGTAATACTAATGATGATGCATTTTTGCAGCCTCTCCAACTACCACATATCCTGCAGGGAAAAGAAGCCTTGATATTTTTAGGCAGCTACCACCTAGGCCTTGTGTGTGTGTGTGTGTGTGTGTGTGTGTGTGTGTGTGTGTGTGTGTGTGTGTGTGTAAAGGGAGAAAGAGAGAAGAGAGAAAAAATTTTAACAAAACTTTACTGTGTATAATATAATTACTTATTTCCTAAATAAGATATTTTTGCCCTGGCTGGGTAGCTCAGTTGATTAGAGTGTTATCCCAATATGCCAAGGTTGCAGGTTCAATCTCCTGTCAGGGAGTATACAAGAGGCAAGCAATAAATGCATAAATAAGTGGAACAACAAATTGATGTTTCTCTCTCTTTCACTCCAGTGCTCTCTCAAATCAATAAACTATTAAACAAAACAAAAGATATTTTTTGAGGAGCTAAACTAAAACTTTGAATTGCTTTTCAATTATTTCAGCTGCTGATGTCTCTTTTTAAAAAAAATATGTCTTTATTGATTTCAGAGAGAGGAAGGGAGAGGGAGAGAGATAGATAGGAACATCAATGATGAGAGAGTCATTGATCGGTTGCCTCCTGCACGCCCCCCACTGAGGATCGAGCCCACAACCCCAGCATGTGCTCTGACCTGACCGGGAATTGAACCTCCATCTCCTGGATCATAGGTCAATGCTCAACTGCTGAGCCACGCCCAGCCGGGCCTGATGTCTCTTTAATTTAACAGTATGCTGAGACAGAGCCACAGAGTAGCCTGGACTTTATATGGATTACATAGACTTTAAAGTGGAGAAACTCTCTCTCCAGTGAATGATAGTGAGATTAAGCTATCAGTTCTAAAATACCAGGGAGCCTCTGTATTGTGGAACGTCTGCATTGTGGGTAACTTGGGCTCACTTCCTCATGTCCTCCTTTGTTACATCTTTTTAGAATACCTAAGTAAGATAAAATGGTGAAAAGTGAAGAGGCTTATTGTAATCTGAAGCTGCTGAAGTCCTTTTGACAAAGCTAATAAGGACTAGCTGGGGGCTACTTATGGGGACAGCATATAGGCAGAAGGTTCCAGGAATCTGGATATTGGGACCCAACAGAGAAAAGATATAGCTGGGAGGTCATGACCTGAGGGAAATGGGAACCTAAAGAAGCAGCAAACACCAAGGTCAGATTGGTAGAAGAACGGCCTGAGGATTAAGACATGCAATAAGCAAAGCGAGGTTCTTTAGGCAGCTAACCCCACACACAACATAGCAAGGTCTTCCTTTTATGTGGAGCCTGGGGATGGAGCTTCCTCCTGGAAGGTATCCTAAAAAAGAGGTCAGCAATCCCCTCAGAATATTCAGGCAAGTTAAACAGAAGCTTTAAGATATCCAGTGCAAACTAATTCGAGGGTTTGGACCTTTCATTAGATGTACATTTCAATTACTCAGAATTTTGTCCCTAAAATCCATTTCTATTTTCAAGCCAACTTCAGAGTTCTGAATAGCTGTGGCTCTCTAGGTAACTCGGTCATCATTTCAACAGATATGTTCATCTTGATCTCCTAGTGCTTGTTGTCCATAGAAGACAAGATAACTGTATACAAAACTGAAAAAGGGGTTTTGGAAAAAACTCACACCAAGTAGGGTTTTTGGCTTCTGATTGATTCCTCTATGTCAGGCCAATAAGAACAGGTGAATAATGACAGATTCTGCTTCTGTTTTTGGTTCATATACCTGCTCACCCTCCTGGCAACCCCCTCTTTTTAGTGTTTATTGATTCCCCCTCCCCTTTAGGCAAAATTAATTTCTCCTTTGAGTGTTCCCATACATTGCCCCTCACATTTTATAATTTGTATTTATCTCTGACATATGAAATACTTCCACAAGAGAAACTTGGCTTTATTACTGTTTATAGCCTCAACTTCATCAAAGTCTGTAGCAACTAGAAAGGATTCAGTAAATTTTTGTTGAATTAAATTATATAATCTACTCTCTTAACTTTATTGCTCTTTAATATTGGTATAGTGATAAACTCTCTGGTGTCCTAGACCATTTTTCAAAGGTACTTTCTGCCATAAAGGAAATCATTTTGCATAATTTTCTCCATTTTTAGCATCAACCAAATGAGTTGGAATTTCAGTTCAACTTTCTTATTAAAATGAAAAAAATCCATTTTAAAAACAACTGCTTCATAGGAATCTTGAAAAGAGTAAAAATTGCTTGAGAAAGGAAAGGAAATAATATAGGAGTGTCCTAAATGTAATAATGCGAAGAATCTTTATTTTATGTTAGTCTCACAATTCAGAAAGTTGGTGCTAATATAAGTAAAATATCTGAATAAAGTAGCAAGCATTTTCTAAGCAAGTCTCCCTCATCTGTTTTGCCCAAATCTAACCTGTAAAAAGGAAAAACTTAGTGTTCAGTTGTCTCTTAAGCACAAGTACAATAGTGTCTCAATTAAAAATGTTCTTGAATATTGTTTTTTCTTCAGTGAGAGAAGTTTTACTTCCCCAAACTGAAGACCTGGTTTCGAACACCCAAAGTGCAAGTCTTCCAGCAACCCCACCATCTATTCTGGTAAGTGTGTTTCTATATTATATGCCTAGAACCAGGTCCCCAAGCTTCTCTTCTTTGTACACTTCCCTGCTTACTTTGGCACCTTGAATTTCCCAAGCTGTTCCTATTTCAAATATTCTCTTACATCATCCCTGGAACATTATTCTTAGTTGTCAGCTCATGGTTTCCCAAGTATTGGGTTAGAAAATTTAAGCCTTCCGCAGTAGTTAAGTGAAATCCACACGTTTGGTATTGCCAAACTCCATGCAGGGAAGAAAACTTATTTATGGTTCATAGTTGTTTGGTAATAATTAAGCTACAAGTGCCCACTGAGCTCTCTAAAAGTTAGACAAATAGTTTTTATAGCCAAGACTATATATCGATGTACATAGGTATAGAGTGTAGATTTTTTGTTCCAAGGATTGTATTGAAGAAAAGTTTAGACGCCACAGCATATAGAAGGATGTGTGCGTGGAAAGGAGAGAAGGAAGAGTAGAAATATTGGCTATCTGACAAATGACAGGGACTCTAAATCATGCCTCTTTGTAACTTGGGCTGAAAACATCAGGATTTGTACAGAAACAGCTTGGAATGAACTTTCCTTTTTGTTCTTACCACCAACTCCCCTGGGCACTCTTCTGCCCCCTCCAAGCCCCTACTTGCCATTTACCTATAGAGGCATCCAGGGAAAAAGAAGGTGACTTCCTCAAGTGAAGTGAAAATAGCAATGACAGCAACCACAATCACAATGCCACTAGAGACTCACGTGTTTAAAATGAACATAAGATCTTTTATTATCACATAGACACAGGACGGGGACTCCCTTCTACGTTCCCCGCTCCTTCTACTCTCTTGAGGCTTCTTTTCTGTCTCATGTGACAGAAAAGAAATGAATGGTAATTAATTTAAAATATTTGTTTCTTGGCTTTAATTCAGAAACGAATTACTTGGAATACTGTTTCTTGGCTTGAAGAAATACTTAATTTGAAATACTCGTTTCTTGGCTTTAATCCAGCAACGAAAATTTAAAAAGCCTGTCCAGAATTCATGTGACCGTTAATATATGCAGTCATTTCTTCTACTCAGGTATAGTGCAGCTCAGTTTGGAAAAGGGGAATCACTGGGAATAACTTTATTTTTTACCAAGTTTCATATTGGATAAGAAAGGTTAGGGGTGATTGGCATGAGAGATTACATTCATTTGGTGTTTATTTATTCATTTACTTATTCACTCTTTCAAATATATTTATTTTGTGCTTTTCGTGTGCCAAGTGCTGAGGAAACAAGATGAGTAAGGTGTGGCCTTGCCTACAAGAAGTTTCCAGTCTGGAAGTCATAGGCAGACTTCTACAAATAAAGTGATGCTATCGCCAAAGTCCGTCCAGGGCGCAGTGCGGGGAGTGCTCATGCACCGTGAACAGGGCACCCCTAGTCTCCGTTTCCGCCAATCACATCCAACTCGTGGCTTCTCTGAACACAGATCTGTGGTGATATTATAAAGACAGGAATTTCTATATAAGCCAGGGGTTGCAAACCAGAGACCCACCGGCTGGATCTCGATATAGGCATGTGCTTTGGGCCAAATTAAAAAAAAAAAAAAAAAAGCCTTTATTTAAAAACTAGGAGATTTTTGCATAGAAATGCAGATTTTTAACTTCTTTTAAAGACCCGAAAGATCTGGTATAGTTAAGTTCACATTTTCTTGACTAACTGGGCTCATTTGTGTTACCTGTTCTGTGGTTCCATTTGCATTGAAGCCAACCCCTGATAACTAACTATAGGGCATTAATTAACAATTTGAGGGGACAGTGTTAATGGATGATAATAAAACATGAAAAAAAAAGAATGATTAATTAGAACTGTCTGGTTATTGCTTCTTTCTTCTGGTTTTCTTGTTGGCAAACTGTTGAGATTTTTTTTTTTTTTTTAACCAGGTTTGATTTTTAGAAGTTATTTTAGAGGTAGGAGTGTTGGGATATTAAAGTCGATACGTTTTGGCATTCTGACTTGGAAAATCACTTTTTGCACAGTATGCTTTCTATAGGAGTAGCAAGGTTTTCAATTGGCAATAGTAAAAGTGAAACTGGCCAATATAATATTAAACTGGTTAATATACTACCTTGAACTAACAGAAGAATTCATGAGTTGAATTTGTTACTACGGGGACATTTATCCGTGTAAAAATAAATGAAGTGCTATTCCTGGCATGTATGTGTTCACCTTTCAGAACGTATGAGAGAGCTTTGTTGCCATGCCATTTTGGGGGAGGGGTACTTATTTGGAATAGATGGCCTTCCTTTATTTAAAAAGTCAAGTTGTTTACTTCCACTTTTGATGTTTCTTACTTGTGACTTGATTTTTGTTAAAGATACTGTATATTGTTTTTACTTTTAATTTTTATGAAAGGAAAGGCATTCAGTTTATAGAAATCTATATATTGCTTGAAGATTTCTTTTTCATTGAGAATTGAGCTGTTCTCCTAACGTGTGTCAAGTAATCGGCTCAGTCTGATAAAACTCAATTTTTAAAGCACGGGTTAAAGTCTTAAGCCATCTCTCTCAGAATTTTGAAAAAAATGCAGATTAAGAATTTGCAAGGATCTAAATATACCTAATTCAGCTGGAAGCATGAGTGGCTTTAACACATCTCTGGATGTGGTTTTAGATAATTAAGAGGAAAAAAGTGAATGCCGTGGTATGGTGTGCTTGTTCGTCATCATGGCCACTTTTTTGAGGAACAAAACTTGATACTGAGCAAATGGCCTTCTTACTTTTCCATGAATGCATATATGGTTTTAGACACTAGAAGAAGAAATGGGAAAGGAAGAAACTTTTCTTTCTATATGAACAGACTCCATATTCAGAACAGCAGACATTTAAATATTAAAAAATGGTCTCCCCCTTTGTCTTCACCCGGGTCTTATAGATCTGTGTACACATGCCAACTTGAATGAGAATGAACTGCCAAGTCTGTTCTAGTTTTCCTCTGGGAATCTTTTCACCATCTGGGTATATACGCTTTGTATATACAAGCAAAGCACTGGGATTGAGGACTCTAGAAAATCACAATCTAGTTCTGATTTTTTTCTCTATTTTTTTGTGGCCGTACGCATTTCACTTTTATGAACTTCAGTTCCTTATCTTTAATAGGCAAGGATGGGTACATGATTCTTAAGAGTCCTTCTAGTCTAAAATTTGGTACATTATGTTCATGCATATGCATGTACTCAGTCCCCCTTTCCAACATAAGGTTTTTGTAAACCAAAGGAGGCCTTATAAAGCCACCTGAGCCTCTGGCAAGAGAAAAGCTGGTATTGTTACTTAATTTTTTTTCTTCCACATTCTGGACTTCAATTTGTTTCTTTTTATCAGAAATTGAATTTTTACTTTCTCCACCTGGTCCATTCTCCCCCTCCCCCAGATTTATAGAGATATAATCAACACATAGCATTGTATAAATTTAAGATGTACAGTGTGATGATTTGATATGTATTGTGAAATGCTTATCACAGTAGGGTTAGTTAACCCCTCCATCACTTCACATAATTACCTTTTATTGTGTGGTGAGAACATTGAAGATTTACTCTCTAGGCATCTTTCAAATATATAACACTCAGCTATAGTCACCATGTTGTACATTGGATACCCAGAACTTATTCATCTTCTAACTGTAAGTTTAGACATACACTTTGACAAGTTTGTTGAGAGTTTTGTTAAATGCTTTTTCTGTATATTTTGAGATGATCATATGATTTTTACCCTTCATTCTGTTAATGTGGTGTATCACATTTACTATAATGCATAGTATGTATGGTAAACACATCATTGTTGTTTTATATATATTGGCTTATAGTTTTCTTTTCCTGTAGTGTCTTTGTTTGGTTTTCATATCAGGGTCATGCTGGCTTTGTAAAATGAGTTCGGGAGTGCCCTCTCCTGTTCAATTTTTTTGAGAGAGTTTAAGAAGGATTGGCATTCATTCTTCTTTAAATATTTGGTAGAATTCACTGGTGAAATTTCTGGTCCTGGGCTTTTCTTTGTTGGGAGGGTTTTTGTTATTGATTTAATCTCCTTACTAGTAATTCTGTTTAGATTTTCTTGTTCTTTATAATTAAGTCTTGATAGGTTGTATTTGTCTAGGAATTTATTTCTTATGGGTTCACCACTTTGTTGGCATATGATTGTTCATAGCAGTCTGTTATGATCCTTTGTATTATTGCGGTATCAGTGGTAATGTCCCCTCTTTCATTTCTGATATTATTCATTTGAGACTTCTCTCTTTTTCTTGAGTCTAGTTAAGGTTTTTCAGGGTTTTTTTTTTACCTTTCCCAAAAACTGGCTCTTAGTTTCTATTGCTTTTCTGCCTTGATCCTTGATATTTTCTTCTTTCTGCTAACTTTGGCCTTTGTTCTTCTTTTTATAGTTCCTTAAAGTATAAAGTTAGTTGTTTATGTTAGACTTTACTTTTTTCTTTTTGTAGGAATTTATTAATACACTTCTTTCCTAGAACTGCTTCATATAGCCCATAAGTTTCGATATGTTGTGTTTCTATTTTTGTTTGTTTCAAGACTTTTTTTTATTGCCTTTTAATTTCTTTTTTGCCCCCTTGGTTGTTCAAGAATGTGTTGTTTAATTTCCACATATTTGTGAATTTTCCTGTTGCTAATTTCTAGTTTCATACCACTGCAGTTGGAGAAGATACTTGGTATTATTTCAACTTTCTTAAATATGCTAAGACTTGTTTTATGACCTAACATATATGCTCTATCCTGGAGAGTGTTCCATGTGCACTTAAGAATGTATATTCTGGTCTGTTGGATGGAATGTCCTGTATATGTGTATTTGCGTTTACTTGGTCTAAAGTATAGTTCAGGTCCTAAATTTCCTTATTGACTTTCTCTCTGGATGATCTATCCATTGTTGAAAGTGCGTAAAGTCCCTAATGTAATTATTGTCTTGTCTGCTTCTCCCTTCAGGTCTGCTTGTATTTTCTTAATATACTTAAGTGCTACAATGTTGGATACACGCACACACACACACAGTATTGCACATCTTCTTGATGAATTGATCTTATCATTATATAATGACCCCTGTGTGCCTTGTTACAGGTTTGGAATTAGAGTCTCTTGGGCTGATGTAAGTATGGGCACCCCTGTTCTCTTTTGGTGTCCGCTTTGATGTTTATCACTTTGAGCTTATGTGTGTCCTTAAAGATGAAGTAAGTCTCTTGTAGGTAGCATATAGTTGGGCTCTTATCCTGATTTCCTCCCCCCCTTTTTATAGGTCATTTGCAGTTACTTCTAGTCATTAAAGGATGACCTTCAGCTTCTTCTTTCTTTTTACATATATCTTGCTTTTCTCTCATATATTTAACTTCAGCAGATTGAGGTCAGATACTCCAGTCTAACACTTAGAAGTGTCTTACTTCTGTTCCTTCTTTTGACCAAAGCCACCGTGCCAAAAAATATTTACTAACATTGCACCATCCACTTTTCATTGCTTCCCCTTTCCTTTCTAGATCCTTTATTTCTAATTAAATTTAACCAGAATAATATCATTTTTGGTTCATGTTTTGGTGTTATAATTGATTCTCATTACTCTTTTTTGGCCATTTGTGTTTTATTATGAATTATGTACAGTGGACCCTTGAACAACACAGGTTTGAACTGTGTGAGTCCACTTATATTGGGATTTTTTTTCAATAAATACATACAGTACTATAGCTGTATTTTCTCTTCTTTATGATTTTCTTAACAAATTTTCTTTATTCTAGCTACCTTATTGTAATAATATAATATATAGTACATATAACATACAAAATGTGTGTTAGTCAACTGTTTATGTTATTGGTAAGGCTTCTGGTCAACAGTAGACTATTAGTAGTTAAGTTTTGGGGGATTTAAAAGTTACATGCAGCCCGGCCGGGCGTGGCTCAGTGGTTGAGCGTCGACCTAGGATCCAGGCGATCGGGGTTCGATTCCTGGTCAGGGTACATGCCCGGGTTGCGGGCTCGATCAATGACTCTCTCATCATTGATGTTTCTATCTCTCTCTCCCTCTCCCTTCCTCTCTCTGAAATCAATAAAGATATATTAAAAAAAAAAAAAAAAGTTACATGCAGATTTTTTCACTATGTGGGGAGGTGGGGTCAGTGCCCCTAATACCTGCATTGTTCAAGGGTCAACTGCAGTCACCTTTTGACAGAAATGATTCAAAATTTTATGGATTTTTAAAATGCACTGGACTATAAAACATGGCTCAGCCAAGGTCTCAGTAGTTACAGAGTCACCTAGATGGTAGTGTGTGTAGGGTTAAGGCAGTAAGAAAGGGATGTTGAGGTATGCAGAGACTAACCACAGTGGGAAACCATTACCAACCACTGGATTATAGGGCAAGGGGAGCGAGTGCTGTTACCAGAGCCCAGGGAGAGCTGGCGCTGCAACTGTGGAGGGATGCAGCTACTGCAAGAGACACAATATTGAGGCTTGGAGGGAGCAGAGAAGAAGTACCCCAACTTCTCACTCTTCCCATCCTTTGACCTTCTGCTTGTGCTTCTAAATGGGCAAACTCAAACAGAAGACAGATGGTGAGGGAGCAGGAATGATGGAGGTAGTGGGGGTTAGCCTCCCAGAGTGGAGAGCAGAGAAGAGGAGGACCTGGGGTGGTGGCAAATAGAGAATAACCAGCATGGTGGCCCACTTAAAATAGCACCTAATTAAAATAGCCTGGACAGGGTAGGAAGTGCTGGTATCGTCTTTCCACAAAAGAAAATCAGTTTACATGACAGAGTGCTTTTGGTTTAGAAAAACCATTGTCGATGAAACTGAAGGTATCTCTACATATACCCACTGATCTACTGTTGTTACCTCTCCAGTGCATTTGTCACTGGAAGAAGGGATGAGTCAGGACATGCCCAGTGGTTCGTTCCCTCCCTCGTGACTGGGAGAGTGTGCTGTCTAAAGCTTCCTCTCACAGGCCCTTGATGGAATTAGGCCATGACATTGGGTTGAATCTCTTCATAGGCCAGTAAGTTCTGTTTTATTTAATGGATATATAGACTGAACTGTAGTTAGCCACCATAAAATTGTGTGCTTTCATTTAAAAAGCATATGAGGCTCGAGAGCGTATGGCAATGAAAATTCATCACTACTGGCAGGGATCTCCTGGAGGGAGAGGAGGGGTTACAGTCAGAGCTTCTTATTCGTAGTTTCCATGGGCTTCATTTTGTTCGTGGCTATTCCATGAATTCCAGTCTTCAGGCAGGTTTATACATGTGGGAGGTGTCTTAGAGGTTTCAGTTAATGGGAAATATAATCACTGCACAACTAAAGAAATATTTTAAAGACCCAGGCTGAGCTAGTATGACCAGAACGAGATCAGGCTATATCCTCTGCTTGGGAGTTTTTAAAAGTATTATCCTCAGGCCAATTGGGTTAGAACATCTGGAATGTGGAGCCGAGGCGTTGGTGTTTTAAAAAAGTTTCCATCTGATTTTAATGCTATTTAGGGTAGAGAATGATTGTTCTTTTCTCTTCTTCCGTTTTCACCCAGGAAATATTTTATGAATTCTATGCACATGGAACTTCTTGGTTTTTTTATTCATAACCCAGCATAGATGAAATCATAGAAACTCTCACCAAATGTCATGGCCGTTTTATTGGTCAGCATCACTAGTAAACTTTTTTACGCAGACAAACCTTCATAGGGTTAAATAATTAGCATGTTCAAGGATTGTGTTTCTGTCTACTTTTCTATTCCTGAGGCTAAATTTGAACAAAGATTATTATTAGTAAAAAGTCACTGGGAAGAGAAAAATTGTATTTTGAAAGTGTGATGTCATTTCACAGATGTCACTATTTGTTTGAGGTAACCTGACCTTAGTTTGACATGGTGGCATTTCTTATCAAAACAAAGACTTTAATTAATTAAATGCCTTTCAGAATGATGAATAAAATTGCTAGTAGTTCTTTTCTGCTGTGGGCAGTGTGCTTGGGTCTTTGACAACAAGTTACAGATATTAGTAATGTCAATGTATTTAAAGTATTTAAGCTAAGATAGACGACAAGGAATTACCTAAAGCAAGAAAAACAATATTTTCTTCCACAAATTCACTCTCTTTGGAATCTTTTAAATATGTTGTCTTATCTATCCCCACTTTCCAGGTGAGATTCAAGAGGTACATGGTTTTTCTGTAGATTTTGCAACTAGTAAGTAGTGAATTGGGATTTGATTACGGATCTGTTTGAGTATAGAGACCATGTCCCCCTTCCCCCCAATATTACATTGCCTTCCTGTCCCTAGAAAATCTGGGAATTTCGATAGATAGGTGGTAGTTAAAGTCATTTTTATGTTTATTTTTATCTATGATATGATTTAGCCTTTTTTTCCCCCTAGGATAATACCCTTCAAGCTGAATGGCCCTCAGCAGATGAATCCACCACCAGCAGTATTTCACCACTTGATTTCAGCTCTGGTCCTCCCTCAACCATTGGCAGGGAACTCTGGTCAGGGAGACCTTTGGGTGATTTAGTGTCTACACCCCAATTAGCCTTTCCCTCGAAGGTGGGCCTCAGTTCTACCCCAGAGGTTTTAGAGGTTAGCAGCTTGACTCTGCATTCTATCACCCCAGCAGTGCTTCAGACTGGCTTGCCTGTGGCTTCTGAGGAAAGGACTTCTGGATCTCACTTATTAGAAGATGGTAAGAAATTCAACTCCCTTTTCATATTTCCTTTCTTTACTGTGTCAGATGACAGGGTTTTGAGGAGAGGAAGAGACTGGGGGTAGAAAAGGAATAGAAAAGCATGGTTGCGTGCATTAGGAGGAAATGTCTCAGGAAAGTTGTGTGAGAAAGGGAGCAATCAGTTTTAATTGGTTGGAATGGAGAAAAATAATAGGAAATGAACTTAGTGGGTTGGGGTGGGGATCAATTAATAGATATTTTGAAGTTTCCATTAAAAACATGTAATTAAATTACTCTTAAATAACTACTTTACTTACTTGAATATTGGAGTGGTAAACAAAGAGCATCAAAGAAGATGATCCCACTAGCTTTTAATAGGATTAATGTTAGGGGCCAGGTATAGAGATTTTTAGCTTGCATTAGGCTTCAGAAGGGGAGAACCTGAGTAAGGCAGTGATAGCAGAGATTCAGAAATGAAAATCAAGTAGATGGTTTAGGTGTTTTTTGGGAAGGGAAGGAAAAAGCAATGTGACTCAGACGTGGAGTGTGATGAACAAAGATATAAACAGTGAGTCCAGGAATTTGAACATTAGGTGAACCTGAAGGATGGTAGATGATAAACATAACGAGGAAGTGGAAATTCAAGGACAAATAAAATTCCTGGGGAGTTTTCTCCTTAAGTTTTCATTAGATTTAGTATTTATTGTCAATATGGCTACCAGCAGTTCTTTATTTTCAGGAAGCTGGTTTTATTAGGAGGACTGGGAATATATTTTAGTAACACTGTAGATTAACTAATGGAAAACTTTATTTTTAGGATTAACCAAAGTTGAAGGGTCAGAAGATTTTCTTTCTATTGATCCATTGCCTTCAAGTCCATTCACCCATCCTGTGCCAAAAGAAACAATACCATCTGTGGAAGACCCTGGGGTGTCGTTGACATCATCGCCAGATCTGGTCTCCTCTGTCACATTAGATCTTCTTACTCAGGAAGTAACTACACCTTTTGGCTTGGACTCTTTGGCCTCCAAAGTTAAAGGCCATTTAGAAGTGAGCGCTTTGATGCCAGACACATCCATGGAAAAAGAGTTCATATTTGAGAGTGGCTTAGGTTCAGGGTCTGGGGAAAAGGTGAGTCTGATTACTTGGCCATGGAGCGATACTTCATTAGAGAAGAGCACTGAACTACTGTCAAAATCATGGCTGGAAGATGAGGGTTCACTTTTGCCAACTGAGGGTGTAGATGAGCAACTAGTTATAGATGACCAAATAGATTCTACAGACCGAAGCATTGAGTACTCAAAATATGGGCATTTTGATAGATCCACATACTTTGCAGAGGAAGAGCCCCTTGACAGACCTACTGTGCCCATCTTTTCAGAGACCACAACCCAATCTGCATCTCTAATTCTCTCCAAGTACGCACCAGAGGTACCTGACATTGGTTATTACTCAGTTACCAAAGCAGCTCCTCTACTGACATCTACAGCAATCTCTGCTTCTACTGATAAACCAGATCAAGTAGAACCCTTACTAAAGCAGGATATGGAACGAACTACAGAGTCATCTCATCGTGAACAGTTTGATAGCAAAATTTCAACACTGAAGCCTGATGCGCAACCTTTGTGGACCATGATGCCAGAATCAGATGTCATTTGGGCAGAAACTTCCTCCTTAGGGACATTGTCTGGAGACACATTGGCAAGTACACCAGAGAGCATTGACAAGCTCTGGTTGAAAGCTTCCATGACACAGTCTACCACTAGCCCCACCCTGATGGAGGGTGAAGTAATTATGGGCGTACAGGATATTTCGTTAGAACTGGACAGGATAGGCACAGATTACTATCAGCCTGAGCTAATCCCAGAGGAAAATGGCAAGGTTGGTAGTTATGTGGAAATGTCTACAAGTGTTCACTCCACAGAGATGGCTATTGTGGCTCGGCCCACAAAAAGAGGTGACTCAAATCATACGCAGACCACAGGAGCATTGCTGGTTTTCTTTAGCCTTCGAGTGACTAACATGATGTTTTCAGAAGATCTGTTTAATAAAAACTCTGTAGAGTATAAAGCCCTGGAGCAAAGATTCTTAGAATTGGTAAGCACAAGAAGTGAAATATGGACATTAGTGAGTATTCATGTATGAACCACCCCTTTCCCCTCAAACACATAAGATCTGAGCCAAGGAAAGTGTGGTCTGCTGTAGATACTCATTTTTTTTATCAACCACAAATAATATCATGGCCTAGGGTTGGTAGAAAACAATAAGACAGGTGGGTACAAGAAACAGAAAACACAAATGTGACATGAGGGTGATGTGATAACTTAGATACTGAAGAATGTATTCATGAATTCTGGGGCTGAAACACGTTTAAGATTTTTTTCACAGTTTATTGTGAGACCAATGTTTTGTGGGTACCTATGATGCCTTTGCTGTTGTAATCTTTGAGTGAAACAGAGAAAATAAACTCTCTGGTATCTAAAATTGTCTGTGAGTTCTATGGGGTTCCAAAATATCATGATGAAAATCTCATGACTCTCAAATAATTCACAATCAGTACTCTTTTCTTTCCTTAAAATTTTTTTTTCAATTTTTTTTTTCAATTACAGTTTACATTCAATATTATTTTATTAGTTTCAGCATAGTGGTTAGACAGTCAAATAAGTTACAAAATGTTGTCCCTGATATTTCCAATACCCAACTGGCACCATACATAGTTATTGCAACATTATTGATTATATTTCCTATGATGTACTTTACATCCCCATGACTATTACCATTTGCAACAGCATGATGGACCTAGAGGGTATTATGCTAAGTGAAATAAGCCAGTCAGAGAAAGACAAATGCTATTTGATTTCACTTATATGTGGAATCTAAATAACAATATAAATGAACAAACAAAACAGACGCATAGATACAGCGAACATACTGATGGTTGCCAGAGGGGAGGGATGTTGGGGAACTAGGTGAAAGGATTGAGAAGTACAGATTGCTAGTTACAATTGATGCTTTTGTTGATGAACAGTTTAAATAATGTGAGTAGCATGCAATTTGGAAAGGGGGAGGGGTTCATCCTTGTTTGTTTAAGTTTTTTTTTTTTTTGGTATGTGTTCAACAAAATGCAAAACTTTGTCAATAAACTGATCATTTTTCATGTATTGTAGCTGGTTCCCTATCTCCAGTCAAATCTCACAGGATTCCAGAATTTAGAAATCCTGAACTTCAGAAATGGCAGTATTGTGGTGAACAGCAGAATGAAGTTCACCAAGTCTGTCCCTCCTAATGTCAACAGTGCTGTATACATGATTCTGGAAGACTTTTGCACCACTGCCTACCAAACCATGAACTTGGCTATTGATAAATACTCCCTTGATGTGGAATCAGGTAATGATATTGATTACCCTGGTGGTTTCTTAGTGGAATCCAGTAATTATTCTTAGGCATTTTCTTCTACACCGAGTCGAGGTGCATTCAACAGTTGTAGGTAAAAGAGTACTATGTCAGGCAAATTTTCCACATCTTGACAATTAGTAAAATATCTCTTCCAAGGACATCAATATCATTCTCTTTTCAAAAGGGTTGTCCATACATGTTATCTTTACTTCTTTACCTCCCGTTCCCTTTTCTATATATGCTACCTGGCTCTCTCTTTTACCTATCCACTGGATCTGTTCTTGCTACATCTCTCTGTCGCCAAGCTCAGTAGATCTGGACTCTCTTCTATATTGTTTTCCTAGGTTGTTCCACCCATTTCTACTATTATAAGCCTAATATTGATGTAAATAACTTTCCAAATTTTTATATGCAGATCAGACTTATTTTTTAAACTCCAGAATCAATATCTAACTATGTACTGTTCATCTCAACTTGGATGTATTCTATGTATATCAAATTAAGATGTGTAAGAGTGAGCCCTTGTTTTCTGTATCTTACTACCTTCCAGCTATATCTGTTCCTCTCAGCTTCCCCATCTGGATAAACGGAAGCTGTGTCCACTCAGCTACTTAAGCCAGAAACCTGGGAAGTCATTCTGATACCTCAGTTTCCATCACTCCCAACTTTCAGTCATTCACTAAACTTATATTAATTCTGATTCTAAATATATCTCAGATTTATGTGCTTCTCTCTCTCCCCACTGCCGCTACTCTAGGCCAAACCATTGTCATCTCTCATTTGAACTAGCTTCCCCACTACCTCTCTTGTTCCCTTCCCCTCTCCATTCTCCAGACAGCAGCCAGAGTGCTCTTTCTAAATCATACATCATATTATTTTACTTTCTTGCCTGAAATACCTCAATGACTTTCTGGTTCAATAGCCACATGGCCTGGACCTCATCTCCTTCCCCAATATCATCCGTTGAAACTAACTTCTTTGCTCACCGAGTCAAATTAGCTTGTTTTTAGTTCCTCAGATTCAAAAAACTTTTCTTGCCTTAAAGACTTTGCACATACTGTCTCCTTTGCCTGGAGCTCTTTCCCCTCTTGGCTGACTTCTGCTCACCCTTTATGCCTCAGTTCAAATGTCTCTTCCTCAAGACTTTCACTGACTCACCCATAATCTAGATTGGGTCTCTCTTGTTTTTCTTGTAACATCATGTTCTTTTCCTGCTATAGAGATGATAACTATTGTAACAAGGCCAATTTATGCACATAGTTGCTTAATGGCTATTATCCCCAGTTGAGGTATCCACAAGGACCGAGACTTTATCTATTTTATCAACGACAGTGTCTTGCATATGTAAGGTATTAAAAATATTATGAATGAATGAAATGAACCATTGTTTTTATTTGGAGACCTGGATGCAGTGAATACTGTTCAATCCTCAGATTTTGTTCTTTTTTTCTTTCACACACCAGAGGACAGTGGTTTTGGGTAGGAGTAAGGGAAATGTCTGGGTTTGTATGTCTCCAGTGCCTTTAACTCTCAAACTGGTTTCAAAGCCAACCCTGATTTTTAACTGAGAAAGAAACATTGTTTCTTTTGAAATCCTTGAAGGACCATTATTCACTGTAAGTGAAGAAAATGATTTGGCTAATCCTCCAATATCTAAATCTCTTGCCATTTGAGTTCTCTAAGGCCTGTTGCACATTCTTTGCCATGTGGTGTAGTGGAAGAAGCAATTAATTATAATTTGGAAGGCCTGATGTCTTGCCTCTGCTCTGCCATTTATCATTTGTGTGACCCTACATGAGGTATTTTATCTCTGAGCCTTAGTCCCTCATATATTTAACAGGGATAATGTTTGGAGTGATTACTTCATAAGTTATATAAATGTCTAGTCACTATGTTATACACATGAAACTAATATAATATTGTATGTCAACTCTAATTTAAAACTTAAAATAAATTTTTAAATGGGGATAATATTACTTGGCCTATGTATTTCATGGGGCTATTCTAAGGATTAGACAAATAACATATATTTGCGTTTGACTAGCCATACAAATGCAAGCAGTTATAATTTATAAAACATTTTGCAGAAGTCAATCCACTTTTTTAAAAAAGGGAAGTACAATAAGTAAGTGCATTTGCCTCAATTTTGTATGTAACTCACATGTGAGTTGCATGCCGAGTTATCCAGGTTTATGGGGTCACCTTTTTCTTTAATATTCAAATGAACTAGCATTAGCCCCTCCCATGTGTAGTGTAAAACCTGCACCCATTTCCTTCCCACCCCCGATATCCCTAGGAATGAACAGGGAACTTAAATATCTCTTAATCACCTCCAGCTCTGAATTCCTTTTGCTGAATTTCCAGTCTCACATTTGTCTTGATCCTTGTGGTTGTTCTTTATGAAAACCCAATACAGATCACAGTCCCACTTTTCACTTTCCCAAAGCACCTCTAACACAAGGTAGTTGGTTCTATTAGATAATTGCTTATGATATGAGGGTGACAGAGGAGGTATCATCATACCACAGCAGATGGCTTAAAATATTATTAGGCATAAATATCCTTCCTCAGCACCCCTTTCAAAGTTATTTCTTGCTGGCCAAGTTTTTGGACCAAGCCAGCAACTATGTTACTCTGACTGTCTTTCTCTACCCTCTTCATGTTTTCTTCATTTTCATTTTTCTGTCCCCATCAATCCCTCCATTAGCCTGCCCCCTGTAAAACTAGACACAATTCATTCTACAACTTAGATCCCTGTCTCTTATCCCAAACTTAGCTCCAGGTCTACCTTTGCTTCCCCATAAAGTCATTAAAGTACTCTTAAACAGAGGGCCATCTATTCTAGGCATCTACCTTTAACCTGCACAAAGGATTGGAAAAAATGCTTTAAAGCTACAGTCTTTTATTTACATGATTAAAAAATTAGTCTTAGTCTCTCTCCTTGGTCTGGAGGAAAAGGCAGCAACATTTATCTCTTTCCTCTTATAGATTCTATTTTCCTTCCCCCAGACATTCTCCTATACCCATAGGATGGTCAAATGTTTTAGAATTTTTAAATAGCATTTTCCTACTACCTGTATATTTTTAAAGACCTTCAGATTAAAATATTATTTTAACTCAAGATTGGCTAGAGACAAGATTGATTTGTTTCTTGCCTAATTTGTTCCCACAGAAGCTCTTGAACTTCCATCAACAAAGGGAGCCATGCCGTATCATCCTTCCCACTCTCTACATACACTCCTATACCTCACTGCTAGGCTAGGATTCTGTTTTCTGAGCACAAAGTCACAATATGTATGTAGAATAAGACTGTTAAGACTTAGGAAATACACAGTGGAATCGTGCTGTTTAGGGCCCTTGTAAAAACTGCTCATCCGTCATTACTTTTGTATGCTCTCCTTGTTACATGAACATCTTATCAGTGTTCCCCTGTATAAGTTTCCTAGGGCTGCTGTAACAAAAGACCACAAACTGGGTGGCTTACAATAACAAATTTATTCTCTCGTAGTTCTGAAAGCTAGAAGTCTAAAATCAAGGTGTTGTCAGGGCCGTGTTCCCTCTGAAGGGTTTAGGAAAGATTCCTAGGATGAGTCCAAATTTTTTTGTGGTATTGGTGGTGATGGTGTAGTTTAATGGTTTAGGGAAGGGGTTGTCTGATGGTACTTCGGAGCAGGGAGCCTTAATGGAGGAGCTTTGTGCACCCCAACTTCTGTGTTTTGCCTTTCCTTGCATCATTTTCTGGTTTGTTTGATGTTTTAGGTGATCAAGCCAACCCTTGCAAGTTTCAGGCATGCAATGAATTCTCTGAGTGTTTGGTCAATCCCTGGAGTGGAGAAGCAGAGTGCAGATGCTACCCTGGGTACCTGAGTGTGGAGGAGCTGCCCTGTCAGAGTCTCTGTGACCTACGGCCTGACTTCTGCTTCAATGATGGGAAGTGTGACATTATGCCTGGACATGGGGCCATTTGTAGGTATGGTGTAGTTAGGGATTTTATAGATACTTCCTCTGAAGGAAAAGGGTCTATACCTGTGATTTTAGGATAATCATAACAATATTTATTACAGAAGTTATATCTAGGCAATAGATTGGTACCATCTAGTTGTCATGTGAAGACTGAATTAGTTAAAAGGCCTGAATTATACCAAGTTCAAGTGGTTATTTTATTTTAGGCTCTTAGGGAGCTGTGAGAAAAACATTGTATAGTGTCCTGCTGAGGGTACTGGGAGTACTTCGAGATTTCTGCATTGTGGTTCTTAGAGGGGATAGTAAGGCAATTGGTGCTTAAATTAGGTTTTGGCATAAGAGCAACATTTTGTATCTGAAAGTGAAAACAAAGGAATTTTATTCTATTTGGATTCTGTTCTCAATGGCTTTGGGCTGCTTTTGGTCCTACTGAGTATTCAGAGATAAAGAAAACACAATAATTTAAGCAAAGATTTAAAGTCTTCGAAGTTATGACAAATGCATTTCATTTTAAGTACCTGAGATCCATCTCCTTTAAAGGTAGAAGCAAAGGAAATGCAGCAGACAGATGGGCAGATACTGGTAGCCTGACCATCCTTTCCTACCTATTCTCTCAAAACAAAGCAGAAGGAGTCAGCCTTCCCACCACGCATGCCACAGCCACGTGAGAACAAACGAGGACGATTTGTGGATGTGAAAAAGACCAAATGTTGGCATACTGCCCAAAACAGAGGAACTACGTAGAACTGATTCGGACTCTTCTGTGTCAAAGTGTAATGTTTAGCTAGGAAACTAAAGGGAAAGGGAGTCTCTTGAAATCCAGAGAAATTAGTATTATTTGGGAAAGCAGTGATTTCCTTGTTGCTCTGGGATTTGAAGATATTTTTGTATAAGTCCGTGGCCTTTGGGTTTGGAGGATCTCTGCAGTGTGGGGAAAGGACATGAGGAGTCGGGGACCTGGGTTCCAGATCCAGCTCTGTTGCTAACTGTGTGGTTTCACACCAGTCAGTTTCCTTCTGGGCCTGTTTTGTTATCCAAAACTAAGGAACTTGAATAGAATACTTCCTTTAAGCATAGTCAATCTTTTATTCCATCGNCTCACACCAGTCACTTTCCTTCTGGGCCTATTTTGTTATTCAAAACTAAGGAACTTGAATAGAATACTTCCTTTAAGTATAGTCAATCTTTTATTCCATCATTTACACATAGTCACTGAGGACCTCCCGGGTCTGTGCCAGGCATCACGCACGGCCTTAAATTTAACCTGTACGATCATTTAACACGTACGATCATTTAACCTGTATATTTACCTCTTTACTGAAGCCTTGTGTGGTCAGCATTTCTTTCTTTACCTTTCCACGGTCCCACCTTAGCTTCTGCTGCTGATTATTCCTTTCAGCAGAGTGATTCCACTCTGAGACTCGGTCACTTCTCATTACAGGTGCCGGGTGGGTGAGAACTGGTGGTACCGAGGGGAGCACTGTGAGGAGTTTGTGTCCGAGCCCTTGGTGATAGGCATCACCATCGCCTCTGTGGCTGGACTTCTCGTCTCTTCTGCCNAATCGTACGATCATTTAACCTGTATATTTACCTCTTTACTGAAGCCTTGTGTGGTCAGCATTTCTTTCTTTGCCTTTCCACGGTCCCGCCTTAGCTTCTGCTGCTGATTATTCCTTTCAGCAGAGTGATTCCACTCTGAGACTCGGTCACTTCTCATTACAGGTGCCGGGTGGGTGAGAACTGGTGGTACCGAGGGGAGCACTGTGAGGAGTTTGTGTCCGAGCCCTTGGTGATAGGCATCACCATCGCCTCTGTGGCTGGACTTCTCGTCTCTTCTGCCGTCATCTTCTTCCTCATCAGGACTCTTCAAGCTCGGAATGCTAGGAGAAAAAGAGAGAGGCCCTTTAGGTAAATAAAGACAATTGCTCTCTGGTGGAATGAAACGTTCCTTTTATTCATTCATATAGTACTAACTCTGTGTCAGCTGCTGGATAGGGATCTGGGCGGAGGGAAGAAAGTTATAAAGTTGAATGGAAACATGGGCCCTGTCCTTGAAGGTTGTCAGATTGGAAACAGACACAAGCAGCAGTATGAATAAAATGCTAAGGGGCCTGGATGAGGGATGAATTAGTTTTGCCTGGGGGGAGGGAGTCTTAGAAGTTTTAAAGATAGTTGTGATATTTAGCTGGACAGAAGAGTAGATATTTACTGTGGCTGGGGTGGGACACTTTCTAGCTAGTTGAATGAACATGAGCAAAGTTAGAAAGGCATGAATGAATCTCAAGGCACACTGAAGGAATGGCATCATTGAGTATGGCCCAGATGCCTGTGTCATGGCTGGGGAGGGCTGAGGGAGATAAGGTGAGACCCTTGTGTGAGGACCAGATCTGTTAGTTTGTTGCCTTTTGGCTCATTCCAGTTTTAAATCTAGATAAGAATCTGACAAGAAATGAAATCTGGTTTTCTTTTAGTTAAGCGTAACTTCATTAATGGAGAAAATATAACCTGTTCTACTTGCTAGACTAGCAATCCAAGGACCTTTTGGGTTGTTATGTGATTACAGTCCCCGGTTGTACTTTGCCTTTGTGCTTCTATAGTCTGTAAGAGCTACTGGTTTAGGCCTAGGTTACCTTCTCTCCCCTCAGTTTGCTAAGGAGGCACCTCTCCTAGGTTCCTAGAGCACCCAGGACATGCTTCTGACATTGTTCTTAATGCTTTTTATTGAGTCTGACTTTTTTATTAGACTATAAGCTCATTCTGGAGAGGTATTCCAACAAATTCTTTATATCATTACTATCTAGAACCATCTTAGGCACATAATCAATGCTTAGTAAATATTTGTAGACCTGAATTGAATTTAATTGAGGCCCAGTTCCCCCATATTTATATTTCTGTGAAATTCTCTATGTGTTCCACATTGATTTTTGGTTTGCCTACTCTGGGAGTGAATGCAAGTGCCATATGCATTTCATGAAACACTATTGGCAGGCATGTTTCCCGTCAGCATTTATTGAGTGCCAGGAATTGTGGGGCAAATAAAGATGAATGAGACATGGAACAATTCCACAGGGCACTTGCCACGTGGTCGAGGAGATAATAATGATAACACTTGATAAATAATTTTTGAGACTGATCTGGATGTTTTTCACAGTCACCTCCCCCCATTTGTATCAGTTCACCACCTTTTCTTCCCCAACAGAAATCTTAGTAGAAGTAAATAGTCTTCCAAGTAGTTGAGCACCTGAATCAAACCTGCTTTTCTTTTTGTGGCTCCAGCAGGCAGCCTGCTAGCCGCTCACCCATGGAAGATGCTGTAAAGTACAACCCAGCGTGTGAAAGCCATATGGGGGGAATCCAGCAGTTTGAGGGACCCTCTCCTCGTCCCTTCTACAGTGCTGCACAAGGAGAGGCGATTGGTGGTCTGAGCAGGGAAGAAATCAGACAGGTGTATGAGAACAGTGGGCTTTCCAGAGAGGTAGGAAACCTTGCTTTTCTGTTGTTGCTTAGCGGCTGCTGGTGTGTGTGTGTGTGTGTGTGTGTGTGTACGTGAGCTTCAAGAAAAGATGAGAAGTATTTCCTGATTAGCTTTTCCTTCATGATATTTCCTAGTTGATGTAATACACAGAAGTTATATAAATCTGACCTATACCTTCTTGCCCACCCATTGGTTTCTTTCTCCATTATTAGCAAATGTTCCCTCCTCCCCTCTTCCTTAGAAATATGTCTGAGTTATTCTGAGCAGTTCATGTAGCATCCAGACCTTCGACTTCTCTGAAAAGGCCATTCTTTCCAATAGCTCTCCCCTGGAGAGCCTAGAAAGCCACAATTCCTTATAAAAATTAGGACTCCTTTTAAAAGACAGTTGAGGTTGTTCTAATGCAATGTATGGCCTCCTTTTCTTTTAAAGGAAATTCAAGAAAGAATGAGAATTTTGGAACTGTATGCCAGTGATCCTGAGTTTGCAGCTTTTGTGAGAGAACATCAAATGTAAGCATTAGCAACAGAGCCCCTTCTCAGGTTCTAAACCACTTGCTTTAGAGGGGAGCCTCCAGCGGCAGCACATAGTGCCTGTTCAGATGATAACCAATGTTTGTTGAGTTCTTTACGGTTACATTTTGACACAGATTACCTCATTTATTTCTCATAATGGCTTTATAAGTAGAGTGTTTCTTATTTAACTTTTATAAATGAGGAAAAGAAGCCTTGGAGAGATGAAGGGACTTACTCAAGATCAGAGCAATAGCAAATGGCAGAGGAAATTTAAAATGAAGACACTATGTGTTCTAGAGCTTCCGGGCTGTGTCATATTTTCTCTCTTATTACCATAGGTACCATCCATGAGCTAATGCTCTAAAACATTTTTCATAGACAGTTTCTATGAGAAGCATTTGAGTAACCATAAATCCTTACATTTAAGTATCTCTATTGATACTTTGCACTATGCTTTCAATTACACAAATCTCATTAAAGTGTATCTCTTGCCTCTATCGAGTTCATATTACATTTCACTCTATCTTTCCACTTGCTTTCCTCAGCATGCGTTTTGGACAAGTGTCAGTAGCTTTTTTTCCTTTTGTTCCGTAAACAGACTTAGGTTACAAAAGTAAACTATCTTATAAAGAGACCATTATGGGCATTAATTGAATGTAGTGTGTTGGAATTATAATTTGTCTCTTATTATTTTTCATTTTATTTTATATACTTTTTAAACAGGCTGCAGGGTTTTAAAAAATATTTTTATTGATTTTTTTAGAGAGAGAGGAAGGGAGAGGGAGAGAGAGAAACATTGATGTGAGAGCATAATCGATCGGCTGCCTCCTGCATGTCCCCCACCGGCGATCAAGCCCTCAGCCTGGGCATGTGCCTTGACTGTGAATTGAACCCGCAACCCTTCAGTGCACAGGACGATGCCCAACCAACCGAGCCACACCAGTTGGGCTTGGCTTTTATTTTTGCTCCTAATGCTGCCCTCACAAAGGTGCTTCCTTGTGGATGGTTTCCACCCAGGCCAGATATCTTCACCTGGCTTTTGAAAGAGAAAAACCAGAGCAATTCATTCAAGCTTGTAGAAGAAATTGATAAAGGGTCAGGATGACACCCCTGACCCTGACTGGAGCCTCTGCCCTTTCATTCCAAATCCCTTTTCTCTGATAGGCAGCCCCTCACTCACGATTCCTCTCTGATGGGAAGGGATAAATTGACACCTAAGGAAACTGAGGAAGATACTTTTCTAATTCCACATGCATGGTGGAGATGCCTTTAAAAATCTCTATCTGACTTGGCCCCTGGGAGCTGCTGCCAACCTTGGGAGCTGCTGCCAACCTTTCTGAACACTGTTAGAACAATATTACCAGGAGTCTGCCTTTTAAACCAGGATACCCACTCATCCTGGCATCTCCAGCCAGCAGATGACTGATGGCTCCATTCCAGTGTTGTCTAACAGAAAGAACATGACTGACGTTTTTTTCTTCCCTAAGTCTTCTTACAAGCCCCTCAGAGCCACCTGCCTGAATATGTTTCCTGAACTAAAAATGCATCTGATCTAGGCTAGGAGACTCGAAGAAAGGATTCAGGGGAACCTATAAGGGGGTGACAGATTGACTATATTGCTTCAGTTTCTGCTGGTAAACTGTCTGCCATTAACATATACAGAAAAAAAAAATCCATGTAACAGAAGACTTAAAAAGGAAGTTCACACAGGCACTATAATCTTCAGAGGGATGTTTATTGAGAAGACGGTATTGAAAAAATGTTAGGCACATAATCCATCTGACATTTTCAGTTTCACTTAATCTCAGCATTTTACCCATAGCCCAAGAAAATGTTAATGGACTTGATTTAGGATTTAATAAAAGCATTACATGGTCATTGTGGAGAAGGATTTTTTTTTTTTTTTTTAAACTTAGCAAAGTGCAGGATAACTTTCCTGCAAAGAAAGCAAATACAGAGTATGGGTGGTTTTAGGAACAAAGCTTGGCAATGAATTACAGGAAAAGAGCATTTCAAAGTACAGTCTGCTTTTTCAACTAATTGTGCTTTTGGTTTTTTTTCCTGGCAGGGAAGAGCTTTAATGAAAACTCCTACTGTGGAACTGATTAGAAGCCTAGAGAAGAGAGAGATCCCTTGTTACCTGTATCACTTTATTAACCTGCATTTAGAACTCTGTGGGGAGAAGAGTATTTTATTAAAAAACATTAAATTTGGGGCAGAAAAATTTTATTCCAGTTTAAAATTTTAGAATGTAGTTAAGAGATATGACAATTTTTATACTTACAAAAAAATTTTATATGTAAGCTGTATTTAAAGAAGTTCAAAACTGTGTGAGTTTAGAAAGCATTCTGGAAGAGAGCAGCCGGGCCTGGGTGTGCGCTGGGCAAGCAATGCTGTCTGCTTCTGAATCTCCGAGGGCGAGGGCACCTCTCCATAACTGTGCCTCAGGGCTCCCGGGAGGAAGAGACGGTGAGACTATTACAGGAGAAGGCAGGCTTAGTAAGCAAATATTTCGTAGCTTGCTTGCTGTTGTCAGATGGAATGAGAAGCCTTTGAAGTAGTGTCAGTATCGTTTATAGTCAGACATTTGTCTAAATAAAATATTAAGTTTTGGGGGGGATCGAACTGCTGAAGAAAAAGCAACTTTTTTGCTTCAGTATAGTTAGACCTGTACTTGATGCTTCTGCCAGAGTTTTGAATTTCCTGAGTGTATTAATCAAAATCACAGTATTGTTGTTAACTATCTCAGTATCCTGTTTTTTTTTCTTTTTCTTTTTTTTAAGGACAATACATATGTGTAAAATTTAGAGGATTCCGTTAGACTAAAGATGAATTTAATCATGGACAGGGAGGGAGTGAGGGTTTGGTCAAGGCCACAGCACTGAGAATATATACTTTGCTGATTGACGGGCGGACTGAGTCAGAACTAATGGGTTCTCTGACCCTGCTTCAAATCCTGGATCTTCTCTAGTTTCTGGTATTTTAATTTGGGAAACAGCACTTAACTACCTCACGTAATATAGGTTAGCTCATTTGGATGACTTCTGTTTTGTGTAATAACTCATGTCTAAATTAATTTCTGCTTACATGAAACATGACAGGACTTACTGCAATTAAATATCTTTTTAATTTTATAGGTAGGAGAAGTCCACATCTTATATAAATTTTAACTGAATTAGTATTTACCCAGTTTCTCTCTAGCATGTTTTTGAGCAGGTAAGTTTGGACAGGGAGAGGAGACGGCCAAATAATCATCACTGTTAATATTAAATTGCATCTGCACATAAGTTATTATTGATAAGGGTATTTTATGTCTTCATTTTGCCAAAAGCAATCTGGCACATTTTAATTTCTTCCTGACTAGGGATAAATTGACCATAAGATAAAATACTTGGTTCACTTATTTTTTTTTTTTTAACTTGGTAACTGCCAATTTCACTCATGATGAGGACACCAGAAACTAAACTAAATCTCTGGGCTGAGTACATGCCACAGTAAAGCTATTGAAAGCTTTGAAGATATCCAGGTATTTTGCAAAGTATGCATGATAACAGGTTATGTGTGTGTATGTGTGAAGGGAGTGCCCTTATCTCAGTATTTCCTTTCTTTCCCTACTCACAATGAATTCTCTATAACTTCAGCATAGGTACAAGCTATGGCTGGGACATTTTTTGCTGGGCCCATTTGAAAGGCAATTGATAAATGTTAATGATATTTGTTACTACTAAGTGCTTGATTTTATCTGTGAAACTTCCGAGGATTTCTGTTTAGCTTTAAATTTTTCCCCCTAAACTTATTTGTGTTAGATAAAAAAGAAAATTAAAAAAAATTTATCTTTATTGTTGAAAGTATTACAGATGTCCCCTTTTCCCCCCCATTGATCCCCTCCACCCCACATCCACCCCACCCTCAGGGCTTCGCCATACCAATGTCTGTCTCCATGGGTTATGTATATAAGCATATACATTCTTTGATTAATCTCTCCCCACCCACACCCCCTCCCCACCTTCCCTCTGAGTTCCCTCAGTCTGTTCCATGCTTCTGTGTCTCTGGATCTATTTTATTCATCAGTTTATTTTGTTTATTATATTCCACAAAGGAGTAAGATCATGTGATACTTGCCTTTCTCTAACTGGCTTATTTCGCTTAGCATAATACTCTTCAATTCCATCCATGCTGTCCCAAAGGATAAGAGATCCTTTTTTTATTTTTTAAAAATTTTTGTTTAAAATATTACAGATGTCCCTTTTTCTCCCAATTGACCCATTCCACCCTGCCCCACCCCCTCCCCAGTCCCTCACCACACCATTGTCTGTGTCCTTGGGTTATGCATATAAATTCTTTGGTTAATCTCTCCCCCTTCACCCACCCGCCCTCCTCCATCCCTCTGAGATTAGTCAGTCTGATCCATGCTTCCATGTCATTGAATCATTTCTGTCCACCAGTTTAAGTTCTTTAGATTCCACGTATAAGTGAGATGTGATGTTTATCTTTCTCTGCCTGGCTTATTTCACTTAGCATAACATTCTCCAGGTCCATCTATACTGTCCCAAAGGGTACAAGATCCTCTTTACAGCTGTGTAGTACTCCATGGTGTAAATGTCCCACAGCTTTTTTATCCACTCATCTACTGATGGGCACTTGGGCTGTTTCCAGATATTAGCTATTGTAAATTGTGCTGCTATGAACATAGAGGTGCATAAGTTCTTTCTGATTGGTGTTTGGGGCTTCTTAGGATACATTCCTAGAAGTGGGATTACTGGGTCAAATGGCAGTTCAATTTTTAATTTTTTTGAGGAAACTCCATACTGTTTTCCATAGTGGCTGCACCAGTTTGCATTCCCACCAACAGTGTACTAGGGTTCCCTTTTCTCCACACCTTCACCAGTACTTGTCATTTGTTGATTTGTTGATGGCAGCCATTCTGACAGGTGTGAAGTGATACCTTATTGTGGTTTTAATTTGCATCTCTCTGATGGTTAGTGACTTTGAGCATTTTTT